CTGGTGGTGAAACACATAATTTAAACTATATTATGAATTAAAAACGACTCAAATAAGCCAGCAACAACCTTCTCACTCCTTGTGGAATCTCATTTGTAAAATTAGAACCTTGCTAATATTTATTAGGTTTATTAGTTAGAGAGACAAAAAAAATATACTAACAATTTAGCCAAACTTGATTTGAAAAATATTTCTCTTTATTGTTATTCTAAGTTTACTAATACCTCATCCTCCCTTGTTCCTTTCTTAAGCCTGGAAGCTAGTGGCACTTGATGTCTTAAGATTGTGAACTAGTTTTTTTTTTTTTTTTGGGTCTTTTCTCTGTTTTATTAGAAAAAAATATATAAAATCAATATTAAAAATATTAAAAGTATTATCTCTTTTTTTAAAAAAATAAATATGTTTAATAAAACGCATTATAAGTTTGTGCAGATTAAAAATATTAACATAAAATTTAGTGTTCATGTGATTTGGGTAGGTTTGACTTGAGTTTGAATTCGGGAACCAAAAACTGAAACAAACAGCATAAAATATTTCAATATTCTAGAGAATATTTTAGAATAAAAATTGTCTTCTATTATAATAGAAACAAATTTGATTCCATACTAAACTTAAAACATAGAGACAGTTGTAATTTTCTTAGTTTTTTATTAATTCAAATTTTGATTTATTTTAATGAATTTTTAGTGGTTTAAAATAATTTGAACTGGTTCTTGAACATTTTAGAAAATTTTTACTGGAAATAATAAAACATTACAGATTTATACTTTAATAATATTTAATAACATACTTTTTAATAAAAAAATATTATTTTTTATGTTTTACTACACGTTAAACGAATTATAAATATCATTTTTCAATAAATATTTTTAAATTACAGGTAAAGTTAGCAAAAATATATTAAGAGTATTTAAAAATATATATTATGATTTTCTTTAACCTGGATTTAATAATATATAATAAGATATTAATAAATAAGATTGTTTATTAAAATAATAAATATTTAACATTATTAAAATTTATTTTATAACATTTTACAATTTTTACTAAAACTTATTATTTATTACGTTATTGTTATATCTTTGATACACATTAAAAAATTGTAATAAAAAAATGTTAGTAAAATACTTTTTGAATGCATTTTATTATTAATTAAAAACATGAAAAATTATGTAAGTTTCACTTTTAATATGACAAAATTTATTCATAATTTTATAATTTGTAATAAATTTTATTTAATAACTAAAAATATATTAACAGGATATTCTTAAAACTAATTTCACTAATAATAAAAAAATATATAAATACAATTTTTTAAATTACATTTATCATGTAAAAATATGAAAACTTTTTACTATTAAAAAATATTATTTTAAATATCTAAAACTAATTCTAAGAATTAAGAACAATAATAATAATAATGACAATGGTAAATATTATAATTTTATTATTCTTAAAAAACATTGTTGTGTTAATTATTTTCTCTTGTCTTTATATAAAATACTCTCAACTAAATTATATAAAGTAATTAAATTCATTAAAGTTTTATCTTTTTTTTAAAAGTATAATATATTACTTTTATTCTTATTTAATATTCTTAAATTTAACATTTTATTATGATCGATATTTTATTTATTTAATTTAATTTTTTATTTATTTACTAAAAGTAGTTAAAAATATAATAAATATTCTTAAAAATTAAAAGGTGCCTTATAAAAATATTAAATTTTTTAAAATAATTTTTTAATTACCCTATGGACAAAGTTAAAAATAAACTGATGATAAAAAATTAAATTAAATTAAATTATGTAATTTTAAAAAATTTAATAATAAAACAATCAAATTTACAATTTAAAGAACTAAAATAAACATTTTTTCTACAATTTATTATATATATATATATTAAAAAGGAAATGCATGTGCTGCAGAGTAACCATAAATGAAAAAGGGACAAAACTCTACAATACAGCATAAAGTGAGGGACCACACACCTTTTGATGGGAGAAGAACCACAGTAACTTTTTTTCTAAATAAGAGAAGGGTATGAAACCCACTCCCTCAAATGTCTTCTAACCAAGATGCACAAATATACTCATTTCTAGCTAGAATGGGGTCAAGAGAGAAGAGAACCTAAAGATAGAAGCACAACACAAAGAAGATGGAATATAAATGAGAGGAAGATGAATCAAACTAAGGAGATTCCAATGGAAGATGTTCTTCCCATCAAGAAGATGGAGTGATTTTTAGATGAAAGAATTTGAAAGTATAAACTTTTTGCACATTTTTTCGCTACTCATTTAGATGTTTTATTTATTAAAAAAAATGGAAAGTAGGGTAAACAAAACTTTTTTCGTTTATCTCTAATTGTGAAAACAATTGGGGAAGGGGCTCCATTTTATTTTATTTTTTATAATTTTATCTACTGTAATGTTAAATAATTTTTAAAACGTTATAAAAATATAACAAAAAAACATTATGAAAAATATTATATTCAATATTTTAAATTTTTTATTATTATAAAAATATTTCGTATACAAATTTGTCTCTACTTGTTGTATACTTTTTAAATTAGTTTTTCACGAGATTTATTATTATCCATGAGTATTTACAAATATTTTTTTAAAATTTAAATTACTTAGTTTAAAATATTTTATATATAAAATTATAATTAAAAAATAAATCACTTAAAATAAAAAAATTACACATTATTTTATATCAATAACAATGACACACTTTCAAGTCAAACATATATAAAAAAAATATTATAAAATAGTACAATTAAAATATATTTATTTTAATATACACATGGAGATTATAATAATTTTAAAGAATAAACTTTATATTAAAATAAATCACTTAAAATAAGAGTTAGGTTATATTTTTCAAAAGACCTATCAGTTCTTGACTTTTATAAAACATCAACAACTAAGAGTTTCTATCTCAAGGATGTTAACTTTTATTATTAAGTGACATATAAAATGATAAAATGACATCATTTTTCTCTCCTTTATCCCAAGACAACATTATTTCACTCTTTCCTCTTCACCTCTAATCACCAATCTCTGTGATTGCACCTACTACAACTTTAGCAACAAACTTTGAAATTATTCTCACTCTAATTCTAAGTTAAAGAAAAAGATGAAGGATACAAAGCATAATGGTTCAATGTTGTTGTTAATTGGGGTTCTAAAATCTAATAAGTTGTGTGTTTAGTGATGGTGGTACTAACATCTTTACACTTCACCAAATATGTTAGGAAGAAAATTAATGTTGGGATGGATACCGATAAAAAGGTGAAAGAGAATGCACACGTGGAAGTTATAATGCATAATGAGATAAATTCTTAGTTAGTTACAAGAAGTGGACAAGTGGCAATCGATTCTGAAATCAAAGAGCCTAGGAGGAGGATCACAAATACCTAATTGCAGAACTTTGTGGATTAAGTAAAATTTGGTAAATTCTCTCACTTTCTAAATTAATTTTCTGACCTCATTCCCTTTTTTAAAAAATTATCCTAATTTTCCTTAATTTCTTAGGTAACAAAGTAGTTGTAATGATTTTGATCAAAATACTATTATTTAGCCATTTTTATTTCTATTTGTTTATTTGACTATTTCTCATATTAGAAAGTTATAAATCACATCTTTTATTTTTTTTATAATTCTATTAGTCGTGGTACTATTTCATTGAGTTTTCTTTCTCTTTTTAGCATTCATTCACACTAGTATTTATGCATTTTTCAGTATCTTTACTTACATTTACAGTTCACCAAATACATTAAAATTTCACCCTTACCCTCTATCTATGTCACCTTTAAAATATCTTTTGCCAAATTGAACATTGCTCTTCCATGATTGTCTAAATATGTGCTAGGTTTCAAAAACAACTTTGTCACGTAGGACATCACCACCATGTGCATTGCTGCCAAGCCATTGTTGCAATGGTCAAAATTAGTGTTGGCTTTTGGTAGAAGTCATGGATGGAGAGAAAAGAAAAAGGAGAGGAGAGAATGTCGAAGATAGCAACAAACACCAATGGTTGCAATGGTGAAAGTGAGAAGTGGTGAATAAGAAAGAAAGAACGTTGTTATGGAATGGAGATGAATTAACAGTAAAACTTAATACTATTATGACAAAAGTTAGTTAGGATAAAAATATTTGACGTTTAACAGAGTCAAAAACTAACATTTTTTTTTAAAAAAATTTGAAAGACCAATAATTTCAAAGTCTAATATAAAAATTTACTCTAATTTTTAAATATATAAAAATAACTATAAGTGCCACATTTCAATACACACAAAAACACCTTTTTCACTAATAAGCAATAGGAAAAAAAAATTAATTTAATCGATCCAAGTTAGTTATAGATTACAAATCTGAATCCAAATGAATCTGAAAACCAATCCAATAAAAAACATATATTGAAATAGAAAACCAGTTAAATAATAATCTAATTCCTTAAAACCAGTTTTACATTGATTATGGATTAACTTTCAAAATCAAATTTTTTATTCAGGACTAGATGTTATCAATATGGTTTTTGGCTGACTCGTCGTTTTTGTGTTGGAGATGATGGAGGTTGGCATTTTTATAGGGATTTTGAACTTAGAGGGTGCCTTACAATAACTAATAGTCGATCGAAACATGCATGTCACAATAACTAATAGTCTAATGATTTCTAGATTGAATAATTCCAAATTCTGGTACTTTATATGTTTATAATTTTATTTTATTTTTGTATTTATCAATATTATTATTAAACTTAGACCGATTAATAACTCACTTAAAAGGAAACAAATTCTTAAAACTGATTTTAAATATATAAAAATAAAATATTTTTCTTAAAAAATATTCATTACATATTCATGTTTTTTATGTAATAAATAATTTCTTTATTATTTTAATTTTAATTGCTTAAAATAAACTCAATTTATGTTAACATATTGCTTAAAACTATAAAAATATATACAATCAATTTAAAAGATTTAAAATTAAAATTAAGAAAGTTTAATTATGTCGTGTATTCTTCATTCTTTTGGGTTTAGGAAAAGACAAATACTTGAAAATTCTAATACCGAGATGGATCACCAATACCACTGAATCTCATTTTCAAGGCTTCATTATCATACAGCAGCCAAAGAAAATTCTCAACTAGCTGGAAATACAGTATTTTAGGATTCGCTTATTTGCAAACTAGAACAACAGGGAACACTGGCAAATTAAAGACTGGAAATAGAAATTCGGCCACACTTTCAAACCAAATACAGGCCTGGCCATTTACAAAGTCAACTGAGACCATACGCCATTATTTTCCCTAAGCTATTAGGAATGGCAAAACAGTCAGCATAAACGATTCATAGGTAAAGGTAGCAGAGCCAGTATACCCAGTATCCTTCTCCTTGAATTTGTCGGTTAGTCCCTGCAATACACACAATTAAAAAGTGAGATATTCCCAAAAGGAAAAATAGAAAATGCATCAGCTTCATTTTAATATAGACTGTTTCATTAAGAGGCAGAACTTTTGATGTGTATCAAAGACACATAATAGAAGATTAATAAATATAATTTTATTGAAAATTGTAGCATTTAATGTAATCATAATGCACTAGACCTTGTCTTATTTTATAATTTTCAATAAAAACCTACTGTATAAAACCAACGGTTAATTCATAGTAAGAAATAGAACCAGGTTGATTATGTTTCATGAATCACCTAAATAACACAATAAATTCACGAATAGGAACATGTGCATTTACTAGTCTAACAGAATCCACTATCTAGAAATATCGTTATGCAGAACATGATAGCGTGGGAACTATCCACTACTAGCAAACTTTTAAAAGGTTATACATAGTCCTGTAAATAGGCATGCAGTTCTATAAGCAGTGTCTGATGCTGTGCTACCCATGCCCTATCACTACAATTGGGAAGAAATCAATTTATAAATCCATTCTACAGATAAGAATTGTAAGATATAATCTTAAATTCTTAATTGCTGAAACTGATAAAATAATAAATCAGAGTCATTTAGTAGCTCACCTTAACAGTAAGACAACACCTGCATTAGCAAACATGGAAACAAATCACTTTATATATCCACTTTACACTTAAAAAGACAATATCAACACCTAAACATAATGCTGGTACAAAGAGAAATTTTCAATTTTATTGAAAGTTTCTCCAATTTTAAATCTGAAAACGTAAACTCACTTCAAAGTACAATATGTAAAAATATCTATTTTAAAAAAATCATTAAAAGGACACTTTTCTTCTCCTATTCTAGTTATAGTAAAATAAAACATTGTGAAGTTTTTTTTTAATTAATTTAAATACACTGATAATGTTAAATATTTTTTACAAAGACACCCAGTGGAGAATCCTTTTTCACAATATAAAATATTTTTTCTCCAATAAAAAGATAAAGAATTATTGCAAAGTCATACTCGATAAAATTGTCATATTCTATGGCCCTGCTTTTTCCACCGGTTTTGTCAAACTTGGAGACGAGCAAATCCAATACCACAGGAGAAACAGCATAACCCAAACTCAACAGAGCATCTCGCAACTCAGTCGAATCGATTTTTCCACTCCTATCCTTATCAAATCTCTCAAAAATTGACTGCAATAATATTTATCACTAAGTTAGAAGCACGGTTCCAATAAAACAGTATAATTTGTCAAATTAAAAATCAAGATTAACCCAAAATCAATGAATAAAAGAATAGAAGGAAATACCCTCCAGTTCTGAAGACTGTAAAATAGGGTTGTGAATTCCTTGGGTCCTGCAATGCATTACGTAGTCAAAAATTCAAACAGTGAGTAATCCCTTTCAGCTTGAACCTTCATTAAATATACAAATTTTGATACAAATTTTCAAATTACATCATGAATATTTTAATATAATTATAGCATAGATGGCATCATCAATCAGTTGTTACCGGTTCAACACTTTACCTGCTACAATCTCAAACAATTGATTAGGTTTGAACCGCAATCCCAATTAGGTTAGGCTAGTGTTTCAGAATACATTTTCACCGACTTCTGTTTTACATAATTTATTCAAGAAACGGGGTAAATTTTTCCAAAACAACTCTTTACAATCAACATTCAAAATTCACAAAATCAAAGTTAACAAGTGAGACCCAGATTAAAAAATAATAATAATAACACTGCTTTAGGACACTCAAACTAGCCAAAATTTTGAACAGAATCGTCCCCTAATATAGCTCAACAACTTAGACCAACTAATAACTTTAGTCTCTTGTCATGACTTCAAGCCTAAATTCTTTCCCACGCGCCACTTCTAATCTTATAATAACCATTTTTTTAACTTTAACTCTTTTATACTTTTCCTACATCTTAATTAACTTATCAAACTCGAAATTATTAGATCCAATCCGTTAGAACAGAAGTAAAACATTTAGAAAGACAAATTCTAACTAAAAATATTTATTACATTAAAAATAATATAAAATAAAATGTAATAAACGGGTCTTAAAAGTTAAAAGTTGAAGTTATTACACTAAAAATGTCTCAAACAATTAATAATTATAAAATTTTATTAAAAAAAGAAATATTTATTATATTTTTATAACTTTAATACAATAACAGTATATTTTTTCATAAAATTTTTTTATTTATAAATGCTTTAACATCAACTTTTAACAAAATCCAAATGTCAATTATAAAACTAATTAACAAAAAATATTTATTTATAGTGTCTAAAGACACGCTTTTGTCAATAAATTTAACCAAACACCGACAACACGAAACGACGTGGAAGTAACAAAAGCACCGCATGTAATGGATCCTTCGTGCTACCAAGAAGGCGCCCCTAAAAAGTCAAAACCGAAATTAAACTCGCAAATGAGTCCCCACAACATCGAAAAACGCAAACGCGCAAAAATGAGTTACGTTCCTATGAACGAGTCGCTACCACGTTACCGCATTTACATTAAAAGCAAACGACACGTGTTTCCTTTGTCGCTTTGTCAGTGTCAGGTAAACCAAAATAAAAACAGAAACACAAAACGACGCGCCGGCGTAATTTAGCACCGTGCGCCGGCAAACCTTGTCCTCCGGCGCAATTTAGAGAAAACCTAACCTTCCCAATTCGCAACTTCGAATTCAACGCGAAGGAAGAATGATTCTCATGAGAGAGAGAGAGAGAGAGTGTACCTATCTTTTTGACGTTGGTGTTGGTGAAGTGATACATGAGAAGATGAACCGTTCTCAAGCTGAAGCTTTGGTTATAGGAAGAAAGTGCTCTCTGCATCTCCTTGTCATCGATGAATCCGCTTCCGTCTTGATCAGCCATCTGGAAGCACGCGATCACGTTAGGGTCCGTGCCGGGAGGGAAGGCCGACGGCACAAGCGACGCGAAGGGGCTGCCATACCCCGATACCGGCGGTGGGTAACCGCCACTGGAGCCTCCGTGGGAGTGGGATTCGTCCTTCGGAGGTTTGTTGTAGGGTGCGGCGTAGGGAGCGGAGGGCTGGCCGTAGGCGGAGTAGGGCTGGGCCGGCGGTGGCCCGCCGTACGATTGAGATGGCGGTGGCCCGCCGTACGATTGAGACGGCGGTGGCGCGCCGTAGCCGTAGCCGTAGCCAGGTGGCTGGTGGGGGTAGCCAGACATGATCAGATGAGAATTTGTGTTAGAGTAAGAGAAACGAGTAACTATGATAACGAGAGATATGAGGTGGGTATTTATACATCGGTGGTTTTGGCGTGGTCTGACAAATGCCAATTCTGCACAGATACACCTAACAGTACCCCAATAATATTAAACTTTTGTTTTGCTAAGACATAATAATCATATTTTGTTTAAAAGAAAAGTATTTATTATAATTTTACCTATTGAATGTATTTATTTAAAATTTTTAACTTTTTAAATGTTTAAATTTATTTTTAAAAATTGAGGTTAATTTATTTTTTTAAAACTTTTAAATATATTTCTTTGAAGTACATTAACCCATATCTATATATGAACCTATGATATAATATAAGTCTCTTACTAAAACAATCACCTGAATTATTTTCTAAATTCTTATTTTCTTACTTTATTACATTTATTTTATTAACCTTTAAATAGTATTGAGTAGAATTTCGATAAAGTATTATATTACTCGTTCCTATACTCTAAGTTTTGAAAATATACTCGTGTTTTATTAAATAATGATTTTGATCCTCCTACCTGTTGAATATTTAATTTTTCACATATATTCTTATAATTATTTATAATTTAATTAATTAAAATATGATTTTCACAAATTCTATTAATCAATCAATTAAATTAATTAAAAATAAAAATAAATATTATATAAAATCACAAAAAAGATTAAAACGCAAATATATGAAACTTTAGCATTAAACTCAAATATTATAAGTTATAATACTACTTATCTAGAGTAAAAAATATAGACGCATAATAAAAAATAAAATAATGTCAGGTAAAAAATTAATAATAAAGATAATAATATTAAAAATAAATACTATACATTATTATGTATGTGATTTTTATTATGAGTATATAATAAAAAAGTATAATGACAAAAATATAAAATACATATTACATGTATTTATTATAATTGTTCGTTACAAACAGTAGAATATGTAAAAGAACGTGTTTTGAAGAGACGTATAATTTTAGATTAATCTCTAATGATACAAATTATTTTATATATATAATATTCTTTAACACTTTTAAAAATAAGAAAAATACGTATTATATAAAGATCAATTTAATAATCATTCTTATTCTTTAATTATCTTGTTTAAAATTTGGCCAAATTTGTTTGATTTTAACAAAATTTTGTAGAATTTTAAGTTGTATTATTTGTTATATCCACAGAATAATCATCTTTACTATGTTATCAAAGATGTGAAAATAATGAGATATCCTTTGTAAAAATAAGAATCACTACTAAGAATATGTGAAGTACAGATAGATTTTATAATATTTTTTTTGTCTATAATACAGACAAATTTATAAACAAAAAATAAAAAAAATTATATTAATAAAATCTGTCTATAAATAAAAATAAATATTATTCTTTTTATATTATAGAAAGATATACACAGATAAAAAAATTTATTTGTAATTTTACAAACTAATTTTGTTCTATTTGTACAATTGATTTTTTTATTTGAAATTTGAAATTAAGATGTGAAATATTAGGCGCAAATTACAGACCGTAAAATATGTATATAATTGCATTGATGAAACACAATATTTCATGAATGGAGTTATAATCAATGCATTTATAGACCGATTAATATAAATAATAGAATAAAAAATGTGTCTCTTCCTTCTTCTTCTTTATTTATCTATTTTTCTCTCTCTCATCTCTCTAGCATCTTCGCTTCCATGTGCATTGCCAGAGGTTTGAGCCTCTATTTTAGAAACAAATTGCGTCATTATGTTTCTAGTATTATAATATAACTTTTAATAAAAAAAATTTCTATTTTTGGTGTAGAATAAAAACTTATTTGTTATAAATTATTTCTTACAAACAAATCACACAAGAAGGTGCCAATTTTTAATGTCTTCAAGAGGAGGTTGAAATTTGTAGTGGACTTAGTAACAATAAGAGAGAGTCACTGTATCAAAATAAAGAAAGATGGAGTTGTGGAGGGACAATGATGTTAGAACTGAAAGAGAAGAAGTGTTGAAGTGTGAGAAAAATAGAGTGTTTAAGAATGAGAAGTGATGAGTGATATGAGAAAAGTGGTAGAAGAATATGCCTTTGATAGAGTGGTATAAGAACTGTGAACGAAATAATTGTTATAAATTAATTTATTAAAGACAAAAAATTCATCTATAAATTTATATAAAAAAAATTATCTGTAAATTACAAATAAAATTAAAAATCCATTTGTATAAGTTATCAATGTCAAAATTACAAGATTTTATCAGTTTATAAATCTGTTTGTAACACTAAAATCCGTCTGTAATAATTTAAAATCCATCAATAAATTTATTTGTATAATATGAAGTCTTGGTACGTAGTGAGTGAGCTATCTCTTGAATCTTGAGAGACTTAAACATAAGGATGAGGGATCTCAAGATGTAAGATGGCTCTTCGATTGTAAAGATTAAAAGAAACAGTGGAACTCTTAAGCGGGTTGCTTGAGAAAATTGGGTGACCAAACTAGTATAAATTAAGTTTGCAATCTCTTTTCCCTTATCTCTTTAAATTTATTGCAAATTTATTTTATTTTTATTTTGTTCTTGCATCTTCATCTATGAAGTTAAGCTTTTGAGTTAAATTTTTAAATATTGTAGGAAAAAATAGATTGTAAAACCTAAAAAAAAGTTTATAAACTCAATTTATCTCCCTCTTGAGTTCATTAAGGCCACTTGAATAACAAGATCTTTTGCACCTTCTCTTCTATTCTTTCTTTCTCTCATTTATTTAGAAGGATGTTCTAATTTCTTTTGTTAGGGATTGATGGAAGTAATTTAGAAATTGTAAATTGATTGTGAATATAAATTCTCGGTTATTGATTGAATTGGATATTCATTTATTTTTTAATATAATTCCTGAAGTAGTTATTCAATTGAATTGATTTTAGAGATTTTACATCAATGAAAGTTGAGTGAATACTTCATATCTGGATTGAATGTCAAGATATATGATATCTTAGGAACAAACATTAATTATCTATGGTATATTAATTTCTTATTATTAATGCAATATTTGATTGATTTACAATTAAGGTGATTAGATATTAGGATCGTTGAGTTAAGTGAAATTGATCATTAATCAATTAAGTAACTTATGAATTCAGAACACAAGTAGTTTTGCAATTGAAGAATAGGTAAAATCAACCTTAACCTCATTTGATTAGTAACCTCCTTTTGAAATCTTTCAATACATTTGCTATTTCCTTCCATTTTACTACACTTTTATGTTCTTGTTCTCAATGTTCAAACCTCTATAAAATTTGATTAGTTCAAATAGTTTTTAATTATGTCAATTCCTGCAAACAATATTTAGAACTAACAATTCTATTTTACTACTTGTTACAATCACCAGTACATTTGTTAAATATATTTTAGAGTGAACACATGGTAATCATTGCAGTACTAATAATATTATTAACATAAACAATTAAATAAATACATACTAAGGCTGAATGTTAATTAAAAATTGAATGATTAGCTTCACTCAAAGACATCTTAAACTCTGGGACAATTGGGCTTAATCTACCAAGCCATGCCATTGAAGATTATTTAAGACTATGCAAACATTTTCATAGACGATAAACTAATTTTGACAACTCTTTTTAAGCAACAAATCTAGGAGGTTACTCCATGTAAACTTTCTCATTGAGATCATGGTGAAGAAAAACATTCTTGATGTTATGTTGATATGGAGGCCAATATTGTATGACAACCATGGACAAAAATAAGCAAGTCAAAACTATTTTAGCCACTAGAGAGAAGATGTAGCTATAATTCAAACAAAAGATTTGAGTATAGTTCTTGGTTACTAAACTAGCTTTAAGGCGATCAACTTAACCATCAATGTTAACTTTGATAGTATAAATCTACTTGTAACTAACAATGAATTTCTCAAAGGAAGAGAAATAATGTCCTAAGTGTCGTTGCTTTGAAGCACACGCATTTCATCCATCATTGCTTGATGCCACACATAATGTGAAAGAGCTTCATTTGTATTTTTAGGAATAGGAATTATGAAACACATCTATATTACAGATTAGATAAACAATGATATGTTAAAATAACAATTTTGTTTCCATTATTATTCTTTCTTTAAGTAAACATAATAGCTTGTTTATTCCTTTTACTTCAAAATTTTTAAACTAAAAGATTAACCACTAATTTTATATGCTTATTACCTAGTCCATCCAATTTTGCAAGTCATGAAAAGTTTCTTTAACCTTTCATTAATTACAATTTAGTCTTTTAACTTTGAAATTTTTAACTAAAAACAATCAAAAGCACATTTTATGTTTCATAAGGTGTTTATTTTTTTAATAAATAATTTATTTAGGTTTGCTCCAACTAAATTATAATGTTACTCAGTTTGAATCCAACTAGTTTGAGTTCCAATTCACATAATCTATGAAATTTTTTTATTATGTTATATGAAATTATACCTATTAAAGGTTAAAACTTTCAACACTCAAGAGATCTTATTTTCTCTCTTTTTTATGAATAACTTATGAAAAACAACTTGACTCCTATAAGTTGTTTTCAACTTATTCCAAATAATTTCATTGTTAAATTTAGAGAAAAGTTAATTTTATCTTTGATTATGTACAATTTAGACCTTAAAATTTGAAAATATGCAACGTAACGTCTTATACTTTTAAAAGTGTATAAAATTTTTTTTCCGTTATTCCATGGTTCAATTTTTTTATTTTTTGATAAAAATATATAGAAGGTTGTTTTGCTAGCTCTAGGTTCATAGTGGTGGCTGTTGATGCATTAAGTACAATAGTAATGACAAGATGAGAGGGGCTAGCACTCATGGTGTTATATTATCCATTAACAATAAGAATAATTTTGAAAATTATTTTTTTGTGTAAAAATTATTTTTAAGCCTTTTTCATCTAAAAATCAATTGTTTGAATTGACCAATATTAATAGAGTAGAGTGGTATTTAATAAGATGAATTAGATTTTTTTTTCATTTTAAACTTTTATTTTTGTTCTCTTCCAATTTATGGATGTATATGATACAATTTTAATTTATTTTATTTTATAATTATTAAATTATTAATATCTTTAATCTATATTATAAAGTTCTGATCACTTTTTCATTTGTTTATATTAAAATTTATATTTATGTTTATTTAAAATAATAATAAAATTAAAAAAAAATTAATTTTAATAGAAGAGTTTAGTAATATATAAACATAATTTTAAATAGCAAAAACAAAAAAAAAATTTAATTTTAATATATTGTTACAAATAATATCGTAAAAAATATGTTTTAATATATTTTAATTAACTTCATATAAGTATTACTAACAATATTAAATCATGCATAAGAATTGAATTATATTAAGCCGTTCGATAAAGGTCTACGACTTAACTTTTGAAAGCTTAAACTAACTAAGTTTGTCAAATTAATAAAATTAATTTAAACTTTTTAAAAGAGTTAATTAATTAAATAAGTCAAGATTAAACTTTAAAAAAAAGCTTATTAAACTTGATAAAGTAATTTATTTAAGATTTATAAAATTTAAAATATATTAAATAATTTTATATAAAAATTATAATATAGTATTATATTAAATAAATTAAATTTTAAAATAAATAAAATCTTGAATTAGAAACTTCAATTTATTTCGTTAGAGTTGAAAGATGTTCTTACTACATATCTTCTAAAAAGTGTGTATCGTTTGCTTCATTTGTATTAATGTTGTTTGTTATGTCTTGTACACATAATGCTAATATGTATTTATGTTTGATGTATGTTTAGTGATTTACTTATTTAAATTAAACACATAGTGTGCAAGTAATAAATAAAAATATATATTTTATTATAAATATTTAAGGTGTTAAACAACTTTTTTATGACTTATTTAAATGGAGGCTTTATAACTTTTATAAAAATATACTTATTTATATGGTTGATAGTTAATTTATAAAGAAACTTAATAATAATCTATTAAGTAGGTCGTTAAAAAGATTGACAAATTAAATTAAACTTTTTAAAAAATATTAATATAGACTTAATAAAAAGTATGTTATTTAAATTTTAAAATTATTAAATAATTTAAATTTATTTATGTAAATCTGGTCTAATCTAACTTATTTTTATCTTACTTAGATGATATTGAGACATTTTAATCATTAATATATAAGAATAATTTATATTTTAATTATTAAATAATAAAATACGTATTATATAAAATAGAATTTAATTTTAATGTCTCGTTAGTATAAAATAGTTAATTAAAATTCATACGAAATACAACTTAAAAATAAATAATATAACTTTTAGCAAAAAAAAAAATATAAAATTAATATTTTTAATTATATAATCGTCCGTTAATAAATAACAATATAGAAAGACATTGTAATTATCATCAAACAAATATCATATCCCACCACGTAAATGGAAACATCGATTTTATATTTATTTTCGTCATTTTCTCCAATATTTAGTTCAAGATATATATTTTAAAAAAAATAAAAATTCCGCTCATGCCCTCTCTGTTGGAATAACCCTAAGAAGCCGTTATCTCTGCCCGCTCGTTAGCGCGGTATCGCAACTCAACACTCACTGATACACCGATTTCCTCATACAACAAAAACGAAATACGCTGAGTAGCGCACGTTAACAAAAAATGACACCCACCCCGCGCACGTTAGAACAGGCCCGTGCTTCGCACACCGTCTGCGTCTATGATCTTTCTCTTTCTCCGCGCAACCTTCCTTATCCTACGCACCCTTTCTCCTCCCTCAATCCTTTTAGGGCTAACGCTTCTTCTCTCTCCCAAACCTCTTTTTTCTTTACGCTCTTTCGTAAAATTAGGGTTTCTTCGTTCACCGCTCTCTTCACTTTAGCGCATGGATCGTGCAACCAAACCCAACCACTCGTTCTCCTACTCCACTCTCTTCAACCTTGAGGTTCGTCGCGTTCGATTTCCCTATTTTTTTTCGGTGATTGTTGTGTTTTCCACCAATGTGGTGTGGATTGGAGATTCTGCACGTTTTTTGTTTTTCTGTTCCATTCACTTAATTTTTGTTGATTGGCTATTTGCATTTTAAAAACAATGTGTATATATCTCATTGAATTTAATATTCTGATTGCGTTTTTTGTTTTGCTTTATTTTGTAGCCTTTGATGAATTTTCAACTTCCACACGGGGATGATGATTTTGATTACTATGGGAATAGTAGTCAGGAAGATGAGAGCAGAGGTAGCCATGGTAGGCATTGCTCTTTGTTTTTGATTCTGGTGTTTTTGTTGATACTTTCTTTTTTTGGACTGTGGGGCTCTTATCACGTGTTTGGATATTGATGCTTCTGAAGTGTGGTGCTACTGTAACGCTTACTTACTGTTTGCATTTTTTTTTTGTTATGAACTTCTTTAATATATATTTCTGATGCTTCCATAAGTAGGTGGTGGGGCAATCGCAAATCACAGTAATGGAAATGTGCGTGCAAAGGAGGTGAATATGTTGAGGAAGAGGGCGTGGTCTCAAAACAGTGATGATGAGGAAAATGGTAGTTTTAATAGGACATACATGACAGAGGAGCGATATCGATCAATGCTCGGAGACCATGTTCAGAAATACAAGAGGAGGTGTAAGGATGTCTTGTCTAATCCTGGTCAATATCGGGTTGCTGCTCCACCGATCAAAAGTAACAATGGTTTAAAAGTTCAAAAGTCAGGGAATGAGTACAGGGGAGCATCGCATGCTGCTGAAAGTACATCAGAATGGTTATATGATTCCACTAATCAGAAACCAGGAAAGCACGGTCAATCAGATTTTGTGCAGCAACACAGCACGGATAGGTTTTTTTTCCTGTTCTAGTGTTGGGGTTTCAAATAGTAATTATTCTTCAAGTTACAAATGGCCTAACCTTTGGTGAACTTCTTGCAGGATTATGTATGAACCTGCTTTTTTAGACATTGGGGATGGTATCACATACAAGATTCCTCCAATTTATGATAAGTTGGCCTCAACACTGAACCTTCCAAGCTTCTCGGATATCCATGTGGAGGAATTTTACTTAAAGGGTACCTTGGATTTGGGCTCCTTGGCTGCAATGATGGCTGCTGATAAAAGGTTTGGGACTGAAAACCGAGCAGGCATGGGGGAACCCCTATGCCAATATGAATCTCTTCAGGCAAGAATAAAGGCCATGTCAGCTTCGATCTTGCCTCATAAATTCAGTCTGAAAGTGCCTGATGTTGGCTTGAATTCATCCATTCCGGAGGGTGCCGCTGGAAGCATAAAGCGATCTATTTTATCTGAGGGTGGTGTATTGCAAGTTTATTATGTTAAGGTTTTGGAAAAAGGTGACACCTATGAGGTATGTATCAGTGGGGATATTGTGATTAGAGACTTCTTTTTCTGTCTTTCATATTTACTTTCTTCCTTTTTAACATTTTATTCAGCTTTGATTTATGAATTATGACTGTTCAGATAATTGAGCGAAGCCTACCGAAGAAGCAAAAGGTAAAGAAAGACCCTGCATTGATGGAGAAGGAAGAAATGGATAGAATGGGAAAGATTTGGATAAACATTGTAAGAAGAGACATACCAAAGCATCATAGGAATTTTACCACTTTTCATCGAAAGCAGCTCATTGATGCCAAGAGGTGCTCAGAGTACTGTCAAAGAGAGGCATGTGCTCTCCCCAATACATGTGTTTTATCTTACATTGATTTTTTTATTTTAGCTATCTCGTATAAACTTCAAAGATTATTATGTTGGTTTCATATTTTGGATTTTCTGTATCATAACTTTTCTGATGTCATTTTTCCTTCAGGTCAAAATGAAAGTTAGTAGATCACTTAAATGGACTAAGGGTGCTACCATTCGTACCCGGAAACTAGCTAGAGACATGTTGCTGTTTTGGAAACGAGTAGATAAGGAGATGGTACTTTTTAATTCCTTTTGGAAGTTTCTTGATTATGTTGACTTGCTTCTATATTCATGTCTTGTTAATGCTGTTTATGTAATGAATCTTATTATGATTGTCTTTATTGTTGTAATTTCTTGTGCCAATGAGATTATTGAAATGTATCACTGGTTTTTATATTTAGTTGGAAATGATTGATTTAGATGGTATTGTGCACATGTATATCCACCACTTCAAACTATATTTTGCAAGCTATTCAGTTTTGGTAGCTTTCGAAACTCAGATGAGAAGAATTGAGCTGTTTGTCAAATATATTAAGATGTACTCAGAATTTTATTTTGATTGTAAAAATCATAGCAGAAGTGTAAATTCAATTTTATACTAGACTTGAGTGTGTTCTAAGCTTTTATTAATCTCATTTCTTTCAGATTGAAGTAAGGAAAAGAGAGGAGAAAGAAGCTGCTGAAGCTTTGAGGCGTGAACAGGAGCTTCGAGAAGCTAAGAGGCAACAGCAAAGGCTTAATTTTCTCATACAACAAACTGAGCTGTACAGCCACTTTATGCAGAACAAGTCAAACTTACTATCTTCAGAAGCTTTACCCATGGAAGATGTTAAAACAAATGATCAAGATGCAGTGTTTGACTCTTCAGATGCTGGGCCTAATCAGGAGGAAGATTTTGAAGAGGCTGAATTGAAGAAGGAAGCTATGAAGGCTGCTCAAGAAGCAGTGTCTAAGCAGAGAAGGTTGACTGATGCTTTTGATACTGAATGCTTGAGGTTGCGCCAGGTGGATGAAACTGATTCACTTTCACAGGAAGTTGCAGGAGCAACTAACATTGATTTGCAAACCCCGTGAGCTTCCTTTCTTTATTGTTTGTGATATGGATGTATACATGTACACTTACATGAAAATGTATATTTTCATGTTTCTGGGTTTTTCATCTCGGTGCTATTAAGGAGTGTGAGATTAAGGAATATCATGTCATCTTTAAATAAATTTTTGTTTTATTATATTGCAGATCAACTATGCCTGTGGCATCCACGGTTCAGACGCCAGAATTATTTAAAGGTTGTCTAAAAGAATATCAGCTGAAAGGTCTTCAGTGGCTAGTTAATTGTTATGAGCAGGTTGCTGAGCCATCTCAAATAACTTCGTCATGATTTTGCTTTGTTTTATTTTCAGTTTCTCTATTTTGGGTTGTTAATTTGAATGCTTTTTGTGTTTTTCAGGGTTTAAATGGTATACTTGCTGATGAGATGGGACTGGGAAAAACCATCCAGGCTATGGTTTTTTTGGCCCATTTGGCTGAGGTAGCTATTCAAAGTTTCAAATTGATGTTTTTGTGCATCTTTGCTACTTTATTTTAACTTGCATGTCTCATGCAGGAGAAAAACATATGGGGGCCTTTTCTGGTTGTTGCACCTGCTTCTGTATTGAACAATTGGAATGAGGAACTTGAGCGCTTCTGCCCTGAACTTAAAAGACTTCCATATTGGGGAGGGCTTTCTGAACGAACAGTACTTAGGAAAAGTATTAACCCAAAAGATCTTTACCGAAGGTAATGTTAATTTCTGAAGCATTTAAAAAATGGTGTCAGCAATCTAATAGTTCTTTTCATGGAGTTATGTTTGTGAAACTCCATAAAAGCAGTTACTATGGTGGGTTGGTATTAAAGAAATCTATTTTGTTGATGGCACAAGAATCTGTGAAACTCAGTGAAGATTCTTTCTCACTAAAGAAGAATTATATCTGTTCTGATATTTTTACTCAATTATTCTGTACAATATCTACTTCACTGGATTTTTGGTGCTGGAAAAATGAGCCATATTTTAAAAAAGTTTCAGAACCAGGGCTCTCATTTGGTCATGGAAATGAAAATAATGTTTAAAATATGATGGTTTTAGATTGCAATATTTTGTTGCTGGAAAACCCAATGGAATCTAGATGGTTTTAAAATAGGAAGAACAGAATGTCTAAATACTTTTTCCTTTTAGTTATAAGATGTACCAAATATATTGGTATTACTGTTGATCAACTCTGTTGGGCTCGAAGTGGAACTGTGTACTACCAATGCTTCTAGGCGAAAGGGCTTGTGTGTAGAGGTGTGTTAATATCCACCTGATCGCTTAAGTTTTTGGCAGAGTTGGTCCTTTACATGTGTTAGAGCTTTTATAAACAAATTATTTGGAATCGTCCGAGCTATCCCTCATTCTTCATAAATTAAGTAACTTTCTCTGCAAAGTAAAGTAAATCTTTGTGTTGCTCTTGCACAAGCCCAAGGGGATCTAGTTTGAGGCAGTATGACATATAACAATTCCTGTGTGTCCAAAATATAGGAGAGATGGCCCTAGGCACGGTATTAGAGCCTTTAGACAAAGTGATCAACAAATTGATCCTTGCTGCATCCCATTCTTCATAATTAAATTTCAAAATTGGATACAGCAGCATTCATATCATCCATTTTTCAAGCACTACAAGTTTGTGATGAAGTGGTGTATTAGTGACATAAAACCATTCGTGAGCTTCCACTCTTAATCTTCTAGTTTATGAGAGTTGGTCCCACACAAATGTATAGAAGAATTATCAATTTGTTTTAATTAAACGAGACCGTAACAGTTTTTAAGTTTTATACTTAAAAGCTTGAATTACAATGGCATATAATTTATAATTGCTATATGTTTAACAAAGCTATTTGAAATAGTTCCTGAAGAGTAGGAACTCAGTTTGCCTGATTTGAAATAATGATTTATCCTCACTTTTCAATTATAGTTAAGCTTTGAGTTTGTAGGAAAGTAAAATGTGGTCAACAAAAGGCAGAACCCCCTTTCTAAATAGTATATATTTTTAGTGAATGTTTACTGTTAAGGCATTATTCATCTTTAATGTATCTTGATTTCTAACCTTTGAAGTTCGAAGGTAGCAGGGTATACAATTTTTTGACCCTTGCATGTCATATGTTAATTCTATTTGTCATTCATCTATTTGGTATTTCATCCTTCTGATTGCGATGGTTACTACTCCTTTATTGTGTACCAGGGAAGCTAAATTCCACATCCTCATCACAAGCTATCAGCTATTAGTTTCTGATGAGAAGTATTTTCGCCGTGTAAAATGGCAGTACATGGTTTTGGATGAAGCCCAGGCAATCAAAAGTTCAAACAGGTTTTGAATAATCTCTGTTTTTGCAGTGCACTAGTGAATGGCACAATTTATTTATTGATCATTGTCTTTTACCAGTGTTTTTCTTATAAGAAAACTGTGATCAATCATTCATATGATGCCTTTTTTCTTAGGAATGAATTGAGGATAACTTTTAAATGTATTTTCTAAATGCATGGTCTTGTTAATGGTTGAATTCAATCAATTCATATTATCATCAGTGTTATGATTGATCTACTTTTTGAAATATTTTTTATCTAACAGTATAAGGTGGAAGACCCTCCTCAGCTTTAATTGTCGGAATCGCCTACTGCTGACTGGTACACCTGTTCAGAATAATATGGCAGAGTTGTGGGCTCTTCTGCACTTTATTATGCCAACTTTATTTGACAGTCATGAGCAGTTTAATGAATGGTTCTCGAAAGGGTATGTACTGAATTGTTATTGTCTATTGGATGTTATAGCCATTGAAATACCATCTTACAGTCTTTGTTGACCAATCTGATGCCAGAATTGAGAACCATGCAGAACATGGGGGTACTTTGAATGAGCACCAACTTAATAGATTGGTAAGGTTGACTTTCTTGTTTGATATTCATAGTAACTTGTAAATTGTAATCATGTGGTTAAAAATATTTTACTATATTCTGGTGGATTTTTTTTGAAAAATATTATTATATTGGATTTATTAATTGGAAACTGCATAGTTATATACAGTCATGCATTTTCTGTGTAGCATTTGTGTGGAGTGTGGCAGGATTGAATTGACTTTTGCATTTGGGCAAAACTATTATTGGTGGCGGTATTAAGGACATGCTTAATGTGCTTGAGGGTTTTGGTGTCTGCCTGGTTGTAATATGCTGTAAGCAACGGCGGATCTTGACTAAATTTTTAGGGGGAGCGACTAAATATTAGATAAAATAATTTAATTAAAAATATTAGTAGTCAAATACTTTTATCCAAGTTTCAAAATAACATCTTAATGTAAAGTAACAATAGAATATATAAATGAAAAAAATTACCTGCTTTTAAAGTGCTGCTCTTTGTTCGATTAGGGACTTGAAGTCATCAATGATTGGATTGGAACTAAATGTAACGGCAATATCCTTTTCAATAAATATCACCAAATTGTTAGCAAGAAATTAATCTTCCATTTTATTGCCTAATTATTTGATGAAATGGGTATAAGCATTGATAGAAGTAGTAGCACTAAGCGTACATGAGAAGGAAATGAGAGTCAACTGGTCAAGCATAAAGCATATCTTATAAGCCACTTACATGTCAATTCATTTAATAAAATAATGAGGGTGCCTAATAATGTTTTATACATATTATAATAAGTAATAAATTTTTTTTTGAGGGAGCTGTGGCTCCCTCCTGCTACAGGTAAGCTCCACCTCTGGCTGTAAGATATTGCATTGTTAGTCTGTTATCCGGTGTATAAAGAGATAGATCTGCACTCACATAGAATAATGTTTCCAAAGCATCCCTTATTCTCACAATGTTCTTATTGCTTGCATTTGTGTTAATTTTTAATATTTGTCATGTTCCTGCGTACTTAGTTTATGTCCTGTAATACATGTCTCAGCCTCAGGGATGTGATGGTTAAGGTTACAGCATTATGTGTTATATTGTGACCCTTGTTTCTAAATATTTTTGCTGGTTTTCAAGCCTATTATGACTTTTAAAAAAAAAAATTTTTGACTTACCTTTCTTTACTCTTCTTACAGCATTCAATTCTGAAACCTTTCATGCTACGACGTGTTAAAAAAGATGTAATTTCTGAGCTGACTAAGAAAACAGAGGTTATGGTGCATTGCAAGTTGAGTTCTCGGCAGCAAGCTTTCTATCAAGCTATTAAGAACAAGATATCTCTTGCTGAGCTGTTTGATAGTAATCGTGGGCTCAACGAGAAGAGAATTATGAATTTAATGAATATTGTTATTCAACTAAGGAAGGTAGATTGTCAGTCCATAGTATCCATATATATATACATATATTTTAGTGAATTAAATTTTATTTTACTTAGTTTATTTTGAAATATGGATTGTATAGTTTTTGTGGATGACGTCCCACACCCCCTCTCCACCCAAAATTTTTTTCCATGTTAAAAATTGCTACTGAAATATGGTAGGTTTGCAACCATCCTGAGTTGTTTGAAAGGAACGAAGGAAGCACCTACTTCTATTTTGGAGAGATTCCAAATGCACTTCCACCTCCTCCATTTGGGGAGTTGGAGGATATATACTATCCTGGTGGTCACAACCCCATATCATATCAGGTGCTGTCTCAAACCTATTCATTCAAAACATTCAATTTCATTTTTTTTCTCTTCCTTCTTCCCTCTTTCTCATTCTTGTTAGTTAATACTGTCTTAATATGGAAGCAAATTATAAAATATTTATGTGTTCCTTAAGGCTTGTGTTTTACACAATTCAAACTTATTTACACCAATTCCTTTATAATTATGTCTTATCATCCAATTGAAAACACATGTAATCTAGGGATTGTTGGTGCTATATAATATTTGGCTATTGTACTATAGTTTATCTTTGAAGTCAAAGCAAGTTCATTCCTTCAGAGGTTATATATAATATTTGACAAAAGAAGTCAAGTTTGTTCAGCAGTTGGGACCGTGTTATGACCTTTCCACTTGTTGTATATGTGGCTATTTGGTATCTCATGTATTTTAGTTTTAGAATTATATTATACTGGATGAGGCTTTCAGTTGGTTTTTTATGACCGTGAATGGGTTCATAGGCAAAAGGCAGCTATTATGAAATTATGAGACTTGTGGAATATTTTCCTGGAAGTCAATTGTAGTCAAAGTGAGTACACTTTGCAAGATAGTTAAGTGGATGAAATTGTGGGAGTTCAACTTCCATGTCATTCCATATTTTCCCCTCTTTGGCAATTATATTTGAGAAGGCAAATTATAACAAGAGATTCATCAGATCAGGCCCTTAGGTGATATTAAAGAGGAAGCTCTAATGTTTAGCTATATTTGGTATAAGACATTAATATGGACAGTGGATGGGTTAACCTTATGAAGAATGAAAGACAAAGATCACAGTCAATGAATCCTTTGCCACACAAATTCTAATAATCTCGTTTTAGCAAAACATGAAATTTGTTTTTCCTTGTTTTTTATATCCTACTCCATTATGATCCTAACTCCTTTTCGCTCTAACTGTTTGTTACCCCTCTTTCCCTTTTTTATTTTTTGCAGATACCAAAACTTGTCTATCAAGAGATTATGCAAAGTTCTGAAACTCTCAGTTTGGGTGTTGGTCATGGTGTCTGCAGAGAATCTTTTCAGAAATGTTTTAATATTTTTAGACCAGAAAATGTTCATCGATCTGTCTTCTCAGATGATATTATTGTTAAAAGTGGAAACTTTGGTTTTACCCATTTGATAGATTTATCTCCCCAAGAGGTGACATTTCTGGCCACTGGTTCTTCGATGGAGCAACTATTATTTTCTATGATGAGATGGGAACATAACTTCCTTGATGAAGTTTTAGACTTTCTTACAGAGAATACAATTGGTGATCCTGAATATAGTTACCTTGAGAAAGGTAAAGTGAGAGCTGTTACGCGAATGTTATTGCTGCCATCAAGGTCTCAGACCAAGTTTCTTCAGAGTAGGTTTGCAACTGGGCCCACCAATGCTCCTTTCGAGGCCTTGGTTGTCCCACATCAAGATAGGCTTTTATCCTATGCGAGGCTTCTTCACTCAGCATACACGTATATCCCACCAACTAGAGCTCCCCCAGTATGTGATGTTACTTTATTATCTAGTCCCAAGTCATTTCCTCCAGAACTTTTCCAAAATGATAATTAATTGTCTAGCATTTTGCTTTTCTTATTCTTTATAGATTGGTGCTCGCTGCTCAGACAGAAACTTCACAAATAAAATGATTGAAGAATTACACGATCCTTGGGTTAAGAGGTTGTTTGTGGGATTTGCACGTACGTCTGAATGTAATGGGCCTAGAAAGCCAGATTTTCCTCATCATTTAATTCAAGAGATCGACTCTGAATTACCTATTTCACAGCCTGCACTTCAGTTAACACACAGTATTTTTGGCTCTTCACCACCTATGCGGAATTTTGATCCTGCAAAGTTGCTCACAGTAAGTGTTATTTATTGTTCCTTTTGTCATGTCTTACTTTATTTCATGCTATAACACAGCAATTTTCAAATATTTCATTGAATTGATCTGATTACCTTGTGTTTTATATAGGACTCTGGGAAGCTTCAAACACTTGATATATTATTGAAACGCCTACGGGCAGGGAATCATCGTGTTCTCTTATTTGCCCAGATGACTAAGATGCTGAATATTTTGGAGGTATTGTTGTACTTACGACACTGTTGAATTTTTTGACATTGGTTTTATAAAAAAGTTCTCAGGTTTATGTCCAAGTGTGTTTAAAAGATGTGAGATGTGGATAACATAGGTTTAAAATCACTGTTTTTACAGCAGTCCCTTGGTGTCTGAGTTGATTTCCCTTTAATGAAATGTTTGCATGTAATTGGCTTGGAAGGATATCTGGAAGTTGCTTTACTTCATTGTTAAAGCAACTAAATGAGTTGAATGCAATTTTTTTTTTGAATTTGATTAAGGCTGTTTTTGTTGAGTTCCATTTACACAAGCAGCATGGCTCTTGTACTCATTATTGTCTAGCTTTCAACTTTGATGGGTGTGTTACTGCGGACAACTGGTTTATCTTTCCTGCAGGACTATATGAACTACAGAAAATATAAATATTTTAGACTTGATGGGTCATCCACTATTCAGGATCGTAGAGACATGGTCAGAGACTTCCAGAATAGGTGATGCCTTTATTGTCATGTGATGATTACACTACATTGGTCAGGCTACTGAACATGACTTGTTTCTTTATATCTTTGTTGTAGGAGTGATATTTTTGTGTTCTTACTAAGTACAAGAGCTGGCGGATTGGGTATCAACTTGACAGCTGCTGATACAGTCATATTTTACGAGAGTGATTGGAATCCAACATTGGATCTACAGGCAATGGATAGAGCTCATCGTATGGGTCAGACGAAAGATGTTAGTTTGATCAACCCTATGTGTGCATATCTGTTAATTATGAATGTCATGTTGAATGAATGTCAAACATCTTAAGTAAATGGTCCATAGAACTTCGTTCCTTAGTAATAGCACCATGGTTCCTCCTTGCTTTTCCTTTATCTGTGTGAATTTCACACACTGATCTTTCTTTGGATATTGAGCTGAGTCTCTGAATGGTTAGCTTACTGTTTTATTTCAGAACTAATTTTACATGTACTTCAAAACTTGTAGGTTACTGTTTACCGTCTTATATGTAAAGAGACAGTTGAAGAGAAGATTCTTCTAAGAGCAAGTCAGAAAAGTACTGTACAGAACCTTGTCATGACTGGTGGTTCTGTTGGTGGTGATCTTTTAGCTCCTGAGGATGTTGTATCTTTGCTTCTGGACGATGTTCAATTGCAACAGAAATTAAAGGAAATCCCTCTCCAGGTTAGTTGTGAATCTGATGACCCAATGTTCAAATTTACAATATGATGAATATCCCTCTGGCCAACGGTATGGAATGTTCCAGAATCCTCAAACAACGTGAGAAATTTTCCAATTATATTTTATCTCACTTATCCTTCCAGGCAAAGGAGAAGCAAAAGAAAAAACCTATGAAGGGTATACGGATAAATGAGGAAGGTGATGCGTCTCTGGAAGATCTAACAAACACTCTAGCACAGAAAACTGCAGATAATGATATTTCCATGGACCCAGAGGGACCGAAGTCTGGTAATAAAAAGGTATCATTATTATGCTTCCTAAAGTATAGTACTGGTTGAGTCATTGAATCTCGTTTGAACTGAATAACATGATAAGGAAGTGTTAAAATTTGTAGCAATTTTGCAGATTCTTGTTTACAGCAGAGGATCTTTTGCATGACGAATTGCCTTGTTGCTGAAGATGCATTTCTACATGCTTTTTTATTATTAAAGTTTATCTGTATCCTTGCTTTCATGAAATAAAAGTGAACTTAGCTATTACTCTTTGATTAATGAATTGAAACATAGGTTAGATATTGGGTTGATCAAGAAATAAAGAAAGGGTTTTTAAGAATTTAAGGGAAAGTCAAACATCGCCAAATTTGGGTAGTAAGGATTTTGGGTGTAAAAATATTTCAACAAACAAGTGAATTATGTAATGCGTAAAGAGAATTCAATATCTCTGTCCCCAAGAGAGTAAGGTAAAGAAAGGGAAAAATATAGGAGCATTCCATTTTAAAATGGGAAAATTTCTGAAAATTCCAAAGTGAAAAGATTCTTAGTGCAAGGAAAGTTAATAGCCTTACTTTCCTGTGTAAACTTTTGTTTATTGACTGACTCTTGACTTTCTGCTTTGTAGGATGTCCTAGCCATTGTTATACTATCTCGCTTTTCAGTCAGATAAAATTTCTATTAAAATTTTCAAGAGATGTCTCAGACTTCCATATGCAAGAAGCAAAATTTTTATGCATCAACAGAAAGATTATAATTCATTAAACTGAATAACTGCCCTCCCCCCACCTCTTCTTTTGACCATGTTTAAGCTGTTCTGCGTTGTGCATGATAGTTGCTTGCCTTTGCAACACTTTGAAATGCATACATTTAATTAATGGTTGCATGTTTTAGCAGTAGCATATGTCCGCAATTTTGGGAAGAAACTTAATCATTGATTTATAGCATTTTGATGGTTTTATGTGATAACATTTCAGTGATTTGAATTTTCTGTAACAATTTTGAGTAGGTTAATGTTGCAAGTTTAATATGTTATTCTCAGTTTGGTTAATAGTAACGTATTTGCAGAGAAAAGCAGCTTCCGACAAGCAAACTACGAGGCCAAGGAATTCTCAGAAGTTGAATAGCAGTATGCATAGATAACGAGTAGCCTGATGCCCATCTAAATTCTGATCCACTGGGCCAAAAACCAAGACCAAAGAGGGCAGAGAAGAATGTGAATAAAAAAGGGTTTTTGCTGGGACAGCTTCCACATTCCCAGGGCGGACCCAATTTCCACCTCTTCAGTTCTGGGGTTCTGAAGCCTTAACAGTTCAACACGCCTTAAGACACAGTGACTTCTCAAAGTAGTATAATTTACTAAACGATTTTTCTAACATGCGCAAAAGAGCACATAATAAAAAATTAATAACTAGTTTTTTAATTTTTTATTGAAAATTATAGGAACGATGCATTAAATTGCACTAAGTTCTATAATTTTTAATAAAAATTTATTATATATAGGTTCTTATTATGTGCGCTTTTGTACGGGTTCAAAAAATTGTTTACTAAATAGTGGGGCACTAGTAATCTATCAAACTTGTAAATTGACTTTTTTGGAGAGATTGCTAGGTTAGCTCTCACTGATCATCAATTTCTAGTTTTCCTTTTTTTTTTTTCCTTTATGGATTCATTTTGGCTGCAAATAGTGGGGCGAAACTGTATATCCTGGGTTATATAATGATGGTAGTTATATTATTGGTGATTAGTCTACCCCTCATTATACGGGGATTTTGGTAATTGTATAGATTGGATTATCTTAGATAGTGCTTTTCGTTTTTGTGCTCTAAGCAATATTTTCAACCGATATGTGGTAGTGCTACATTCACATGTATTATTATAAGTGGCTCCAAAGTGAAGTAAGAACGCGGTAATAGAGTTGCATAGGGGGAAAACTAGGCGTAGCATTGTCACTCTTGCATAATAATCAGCGACTAATGTTAGATGACTTTAAGATTCAGGTAAGCAGCTTGTTTATTTCACTTCAGTGGCGATAAAATAAGAGCAATTAAGATAAAGTAATGGATTAATATTGCATCAAGACTTCCAAATAGTATTTAGTAATTACTTTAAATCTCAATCACTTCGAATTAAATTAGATAGATCCACTCAAAGCCGAAGTTCTTTAATCATCACTTCTTTTTTTACAGATCACAGGAATCAAACTCAATACATTATGTAAGTGAAATCAAGATGAAGCCATCTGTACCAATTTGATATCGATTTTGCGAAGCAATAAGGGAAGCATCAACCATGGTTAAATCCAACCTAAAGGGAAGCATGGTTGAAAATTACCGATGAGGAGAATATCACATGCTGCGAAATATGCATGGGCTGTGTTTCGCTACATAAAATATGAAATACAAGTTGTGTGTCATTGTGTTTAACGCATAACAAAAACACTTAAATAATTTTGATAGATACCAAATGCTGCGCTAAACAATCACTTTCCCTACACACTTCATCATCTCCAAGTTACTACCAAGCAAAGTCTAATATTTTTTGTTTTCCATATCCCTTTATCAAGGAATAGAACATTCGTTGAGGCTTAAAGAACAAGTTATCATTCAGCCCACTACGTATAGCGGTACCATGCATTTCTCATTCTTTGGAGGACATTTTTACCCTTCTCACTGATTCAGATTGTGAAATAATCTCTATCTTCTCTTCCTTCTATAATCCAAGCCACCATAAACGGAAGAGAAGCACAGTTTGGGTTACAAGTCCTCTCCTCAACGCAGGCAACTTCTCCATCGCCATTGTTGCAGTGGAGCTAGTCATTACACGATTCTTTGTCGCAACCTCACTCGTTACTCTTACGCCATCCCTCGCCGTGAGCTACTACCGTACTGCCACCTCTCCAAGCACTACAATTGTAGCAATGGTAATATCCTTATTGATTGAAAAAACAGTTACCTCCTTTACTTAATACTTTTCTTACGTATTAGCATCCAATATTACACATGCTCCTCTTATTTTTTATGTATAGACCATACACCTAATATCTTTTAAAATAACAGGAAGTGTAACTTTTCAGATAAAAGTAATATAAATATAATTAATGCTAACACCAATGTTTTCCATTACTAAATGTGCTCTCCTTCAATTTGCAGAACTAGATTTTGTACAATGGGTTACGCATTTTATAATAGAATAATGGACTGATACACTACCTAATAATATTTTATTATAGTGTTTTCAATATACACTAATTTTTTTTCTAGTCATTTTTTTCCAACGAAACAAGTAATAAGAATTCACAACTTTTCTTCCTCATCCGGTTCCTTTTTTTCTCTCAATCCAAATAACTTTAAAAAAAAAAAATTTCTACCCATTTCTCTTCTCAACATTTTTCTGCCCTATTTTTTGTTACAAATTTTTTTTCGCTTTTCCAGATCCAAACAGTGTAAGTATTATACTATGTCAATCACATAATTAAACAGAGAATTTAATTGACAACTAGCTATCAGAATTAATCACATGATTCCTCATTCCACACTATACCTCTCGTTTGCCCAAGTTTCATTTTATTTTGCTAATATTATTATTTCATATTTATTTTTAAATAAATTATCTAAAAGAAACACTTTAATAATAATATATTATTTAAACGTTCTATAATATCTATTATTTATTGTGAACATTCATCTTTGTTCGGATTGCAGATTTATTAAGTAATAAATGATGAATTTCAAAAAATAAAAAGAGTAATTAAAAAGACATATAATCAATAAAAATCATAAAGATATTCTATAAATAATAATCACTATTTTTATTTTAAATTTTAGTTAATTTAAGAATATATAGAATAAAATCAAAATAAAGAAAGTGTAAAAAATATACTTAATTTCTTTTTATTACATACTAATATTATTATAAACAGTGATTAACTTGCACACACAAAAGGAGAAGGGATTTCTTTCACCATGAAGAATTTTGAAAAAGATTTTTCAGAAGAAAATTTTTTTAAAGAGAATTTTTTACATAAAATTTTTCACACAAAATATAAAAAAAAGACAAAGATACTAAAAAAAAAATGTACGACTTTTGACTCATTTCTTACGACGTTGTTTGTCTCTCATGAAATATGCGCTAATGTCTTATTATATGATTTTTTTTCTTTCTCTTTTGTTATTTTATTTCTTTTCTCTCTCTCTTTGTTTTAGTGCTTTTTCTATTTATGTGGTTCCTCTTCATTTTCTCTTTTTTTATTTTTTTTCTTTTTTCTTTGCATTTCGTCTTCCTTAAGCGTCATCCCATTATGCCCAAAAACCTATAAAAATTAAAAAAACTCTTTTTCAATTAATCATCCTAATTATTATTTTAAAATAAAATATACAGATTAATTTTTTTGTTAAATCCATCAAAAATAATAAATGTTTTCAGTAAAAATAAAAAAAGAAATAAAATAATTTTTAAATTTTTAGGTTGTTAACTTTTAAAATAAATATATAAAAAAATTTAGAATGTTAAATTACTTTCAAAATAATTTTTTTTTCTGTTTAACTCTTTTTTTAAATAAAATATAAAATTTTCGTTTTCAAAAGAAAATCTAAAAAATATGTTTTCAAATTATTAGGGCTTTGTCACTTTTCAAATGAAAAATAAAATAAATCTTTTTACAAAATTGTTTTGTTTTCAAATAATATTTTAAATAAAAAATAAATTTTTTTTACAAAATTGTTTTATTTTCTAAATAAAATATGATTTGAGATAAGAATTTTTTTGAAATCTCAAATCTAATTTTTTCTTGTGACGATAACAACTAATACCCGAGGTATATTTTCTAAAAAAAAAATAGAAAATAAAAAATAGAAAAACAAAAAAATAAATATCTAAGTGTAATGACCTTTTTCTAGCAACGAAAATACTTAATTTTCTTTTTCTTGCCCAACCTAAATTGATTCTTATTCTTAGTGAATCATTTTCATACAGTCTGTCATATGTATAGTCTAATAAAGCAAACTCACTTTCAGTTACAAGCAACTTGCCAAACTTTCCTCCTTAGTAATCCTAGAGACTGACTTAACATTCGGACAAGGCATAAGGTGTCTCATACTACTTTATACCTTGTACTCAAGGATCTAATGCGTCTCATATTACATTAGTTCACAAGGTAAATGTTAAATCCTTAACTAATATCATACCAATTTGGTAAAATCCAACATCAAAGGATTACTCACCCATTAACTCTAATAACCCTAATTAACCTATGAAATTTCATAGTGTATAAGAATTCCCTTGTGCAACCATGATCCAACTGACACAACTGTGTTTCTGGATATAGCAATCTTGCTAACAGAATCTTCTTATAATCCTCGAGTATACCTATGCCCCTGGACACAACATCAAAGATTTCCAAAACAAGAATAAAAGAGAAGGGTGAGACTTTTCAAATACTCATAAAAAGAATTAGGATCTGAAAGGAAGGAAAGAAATAAATAGAAAAAAAATATAAACTTATATAAAACTTTGATTTTCAAAAATCAACTCAACCAATATAATATAAACAATTTCATTCATTTGCAAGCAGACACCTCATATATTTCCAATTTCATGTTAGACTATGATGCATGGAACTTATACATATGCTAACTTTTGGTTTGGCCTAAAACCATTTGTTATGTTCATGCGATTCTTGGATCCATTCCTATCATCGGAAGTTGTTGGAAGTTTCACTAGTCAGCCAACATTTCGCATGTAAGGTTGAGACTCGAACCTCCAACGACTAATCTAACTCGACCAACACGATAAGCCTCAGGAAAAGGTCAGGATAAAGGAGCATCGCATGGAGACTCCCAATTAGAGTTCTTGGGCCTAGGACACTCATAGGACTATTGGTAAATTACCCAACTCCATTAAATCTCCTAGACATCGAGGTCTTTCCTATCTTTCTCCAACAACAGTTATAAAATAATATCGTGACTTTTTTCACAGGGGAGAAGTATCTACACCCATTGCTATATGAATATTTTATTTCTCTTTGGAGCTCAATCTCCATATCACACACACAGGTACCAATTCAAATCAAGATTAATATCCCATCTCATTTCACATCACGCACTCAAGTGTTGGTTTAAATCCCAGATCAACATTTCATGTTCAACTATTCAGACAATTTCCACAAGAGATTGACATATACTTATACCAATGCTTTCAAGCACTTCCACTAAGGGTCCCTAGCTCACTAGCCTTGCCTCTTTATTTGAATTTCCAATTTTATCTACCTAGTTAGTTTACTATTCATGATTGAAAAGATGTTAGATTTTCGCAAACATTTACTTTCCTTGATTCAATCATTAAGGTTCTATTACGAATTCTAGGTCCAAGACAAACAAGTAGCTAGACTCAATAATGTGGTTATACTTACATGTCAATTATCTCTAAGCGTTCTCATTAATGCATACACACCCCTTCAGGGTCTTATAATCACAATGGGGGCCTCAATCCACCTGTCTATACATTTATACATGTTTTCAACCAACTATGGGTCACCAATTCACGTGTCAAACCAGACTTTAAAATCATGCAATCATCACATTCATATTCAAATATCACAATGTGTGCAAGACTTATGCATATGCAAATAATAGCATATTCAAAATCACAATGCATCAATCATCACCAATAAAGGTGAATTTTATTCTTATAGGCATCCTACATTAGGTTTGTCTAAGTTTTCTTATGCCAATTCATTCAATCTTTTCATCAAACACTTTAATAAATACAAGAACTTTAAATTTTATTATTATTATTATTAAGCCATTTTGTTTCTGTTCTATATTACATTCAATTAAATTTTCTAAAAGGTCGGATACCTAAATTAAGACTTCATTTCTCTTTCCTTTTTCTTCCATTATTGGAATATCTGTTAAACTTGTTCAATTTCTTGCTTATTGCTTATTTTAACTAAAATTATAGATTAAGGCGATTAAACATAGCATGACTTAAAGTCATAGGACTTGTCAGTTCATTGTATTTTCTAAGTAACAGTTTGATTAAGGGGTCATATCCTTTTCTAAATTATCAAGCATCAAGTCTCTAGGTGTTCCTATCTAGCATAGTTTGGTTTGATTTTACTAGATGATAGAATATACATGTTAATTTATAGCTTAGTTCATTCAACTAGTTTTGGTGTACTTAGTGCTATGCTGTAAATAATAATTTTCATTCTCCTTGGTATTCATCAAGTTTAGGAGTCTAAAACTTACTATGAAATTTTGCTTAACTTAGCATTCAATCACACAATTTCACACACACACATATATATATATATATATATATATATATATATATATATATATATGCACCACAGTAACACCAGCAAACATATCAATCTCAATATCAAATATATGTCTATAAACTCAAGAGAGTAAGGAATTTTTAAGAGCTTTCAACAACACACAACATTCATAATTTCATCAAGTGTATTTTTATCAATTCTCTTAACTCCTAACTCGAGTCATATGAAAGTTTCTCCCCTCATCTTAGAGAGTAACTCAGTTTGGTGAGGAAAGACGCTCCACTTCCAGCCTTGTTTGGGTTGTACTCGCGTTTTTTAACGGGATTGATAATTGTCCTTTTCAAGTTGTTCTTAAGCTCATAACTTAGGCGTTTAGAATCAGAATGAAGCGTTCGAGGTATTGACATGTTTCTCATTCAAGGAAACAAACACAAAGCTCATTATAGGAGGTTTTAAACTAAGTCAAATAATTTTTTGTTAGCTAAAAACAGTATCGGTACAACAAGGTGCTTAATTCCGAACAACTAAAATTTCAAGTTTTGGTACACTTACTAAATGGAGGGTAACTGAGTGTATAGTGTCCAAATTGAGCTCAAGATAGCTTTTTAAAAAGGTAAAATTGTTACGGTTTAAGGAATGAGTTGCTAACTTATCCTCATTGTTTGGGGAAGAAAATTCAATCCAATTCAAATTTGGAATAGCTTGTTAGAAATCTTATATAACCTAGAATATAGGAACATGGTTAAGAAATGTTTTCCACAAGCATATTTTTCCAGAAATTGAGAGAAAGTTATTGCATGCAATTTCAGAAAAATATTTTTTACAGAATTCCGCATTGGGCAGCTTGGGAGTTTTGGACCAAAAGAAGGAGAAATGACCTCCAAATTGAGTTCCGCAAAAGGGGTTTGAAAACTAACATCTTAAGGATTATGAAGATGTTCTTAAAATAATTTTCCATGTACACAAGTGGTACAGAATAATGATTTTACAGAGAAATGTTTCGGTTGTCATGAATTGTTTTGGCATATTTGAGACTTAGTGTATGCATGTCGTTGAAACATCAAATGGACTTCAACTTGAGCACAAGATGGCTTGATGAAATGGTTATGTCGTAAGGCACACAAGTATGTGAATACATGTCAATAAAATCACATGCAAGTGGTTCAAAAAGAAGACTTTTGCTGTTGTTAGCAGAGAAAACATAATTCTGAGACAACTTCATTAAAAATTGTATATCTCATTAATTTGTGATCCAAATCAAGTCCAACCAATTTTGTTTGAAAGTTAAGACATTTAAGTTGATAAAAATGTGTTCATTCAAATTTTTGGAAATATAGATTGGTCGCAGCACTCACATTAATGCAAAGTATGTTTGCTGATTTTTGAAACGAGACCTCTGCTTGTCCCGACATTTCCATGTAGCGAGTGAGATAAAAAATGAGCTTAAGATAACTTGTTGGAAAGATCTAATTACAAGAATTTCATAAGTGTTTATGAATGTTCATAAAGTTTCATAAAGTTGGATGAAGAGGGATTTAAAAACGCATTCTTTTCACTATTTTCATAAATTTTTTAAAATCGGATGTAGCATGGTAAAAATAGTTTTTCTCCTTGATCTTTGCTTTAAATCTTACTCCGAAAGTGGCTATGGAAAGCTAATGAAGTGTACTATGTGAAGGAATAAGGTCAAGTTAAAAATAAGGAGGTTTAGCAAGTCAAATATGAAAAACAGATTGCATGCAAGGTGAAAAACGCAAACTTTCTCTATGAAGCTTTGAACTTTGCATACGTATCACCATTTTGCACATATCTTAATCAATTGGAGTCTGATCGACGAGCTACAAGGTGCGTCAAAAAGCTAAGATAATAAGGAACAAGATGAAAGGTTTACATGTCAGTTTCTCTGTATGAAATTTTCCCAAAAATTCAAGAACATGGCTGTTGGACCAGCAAAATTCAGATTAGGTCATACTTACAAGATCAAGTCGTTGAGTGGTGAAACGGACTCTGAATCAAGTTTGAGATAATGCATTGAAAAGATATCTTCATGTAGTTTATGAAAATAAAAATTTCAGATTAAAAGAGATCAGTAAAGAGGGCATAAAAATTGGTTCTTTACACTGTTTCTAAAAAAAAAAAGTAAAAATGAAGGTATTCACATACTTTAGGTGATTAAGGGGGTAAATGATATCGGATCAAGACTTATGATATACCATTGAAAAGGTATTTCTGCAAGTAACACAGAGGAATGTTTGCATGACAATTTGAAGACCAGAGAAGCAAGAAAAGGGGCATCCTTTGCTATTGAAACACAAAAACGCAGCGCAAGGAAGAGATCTCACTATTTTCACCACACTTTATAAATTTGATATCCATTTTGAGTGAAACCACTTGCATTTGAAAGCTAATTCTTTGAGGATCATAAAGGAATAATTGCATGCAAGGTTCAAAGAGCATAAAAATGAAACTTAGTCTCTATTGTCGCTGCAACACAGAAACAAGAAAGAGTGTTACCATTTTTCTTGTAACTCAATGATCCGATGTCTGTTTTTGGTGAAACAAGTTGGATTGGAAAGATTTTTCACTGAAAAATCCAAATATGCATAGTTTAGGCTCAAAAACATACATTCAAATGGTCAGAACTGACTCACATTGTAGCTGAACGGAGAAAACTCAAAACTTCTTTATAGAGGAAATGTAAAAACATCATCTCTTTACTTTAATTAGTGAAAACACTAAGAAACAAGGATGAAAGAGTGTTTTTACCTTGCTTGTATGTTCAAAGAGTAAAGGTGAGTGGTGGGGAAAAAGAGAGAAACCGTGAGAAAGATAGAAATCGGAAAAGAGAGTGAAAGAGACCTTTACGGGAGAAAGAAAGAATGAATTTAGTTTTGCCAACTTTTCAACACATGGCTGTACATGTATTATGCATGCAAAGGTTGATCTTGCCACCTTTCAACACATGGTGCGCATGTGTCACGCATGCAAGGGCTTCTTCCTTCTTCAACACGTGGCTGTCACATGGCATCACAAATGCAAGGGTTTCTCCTACTTCGACATATGACCACCACATGTCGTTATGCATGCAAGGACTTCTCCTACTTTGACACGTGGCTGTCACATGGCGTCACGCATGCAAAGGTTCGCCACATTTTGCCACCTATCGTCACCTATCTTATAATTTCGCCACCTATCTCATGCATGCATAATATTTTGAGGACAATATGATCATTTCGCAATTTATTCTATGAATTAAAATTCTAAAAAAAAAACTTGTTGAAGCAAAATCTACTTTGCTGAGGTTTGAACCTAGAGACTTCCAACTCCTTGAGGTACTGTTCATTCAAGTTAATAACTTCTCTATTTGTAACCAACTCACAAACTCGAGACTCTTAAAGGTTTTTTCCAATATTTTATCCTTATAAAAAAATAATTTTTTTGTGGCAGCTCTACATTGTTTTCAAATTAAAACTCTATTCTTTCAAGCCGCTATTCTTTGCTTACCAAGCGACATTTATCAATAAAAATAAATAATTATATATTTAATAGCCATGGGATTAGTTTTGAACCTACATGAAGACAGAAAGAAGAAACGAAGTTCCATTCCAAACTCAAAAATATACCAAGGTACATATCACAAGCATATAGAGCCGAGTAGATTCAGTAGAGTTCACATATAACAGTTTTAAACTGTCAGTGTGCACACAAACACAGGTTAATTAAGCCTAAGAGCTTGAGCATGATGTCGGATGTGATCATCTACGAAGGTGGCAATAAAATAATATGAGTGATCATAACCAGGCTGGAAACGTAACAGCAGTGGAACATTGGCATTTCTGCAAGCCTCTTCAAACTTGTGAGGCAGCAGTTGATCTGGCAAAAATTTGTCATCTTCCCCCTGAAAAGTAGACCAACAGTAAAAATTTCATCTAGAGTACATTATATAAGTACATGTTTATATAAATTGAAACCTTGTCCAGTGACACAAACAATACTATATGTGGCAGATCATTTTTATTTTTTCATATTGCCGCCGCTAAAACAGAATTTCTTAAACATAAAAATCAAATACAATTTAATAAATATACAGGATACAAGCAGCTAAAACATTGCCACTTTTAAACCATTCACCAATTTAAAAAAACAAAAACAAAAACCAGCCTTTTACCTGATCAATCAAAATGGTGGCAGAAACATTTGGAAACTTAGTTACCAAATAAGTGGCATCATAGTCCTGCATTTGTCAAGTTATTATTATGAAATATCAAGGCTTGTTATGCAAAGCGAACAAGCGGTTTCCTCATCTAATTTACCTCCCAATCAGATTTATTGTCACCTAGATAATTTGTGAATGCCTTCAGCCCCCAAGGACAATTCGTAGGATTTGCTATTGGTGCAAAGGCAGAAACTGACTGGAACAAGCATTTAAAGGACACAAGAAAAATTAGATAGAACCTAAATAATAAATAAATAAATAATTTTATCATGACACAATACAGTATGTGTTATCTTAGGAAATAAAGTTCTACGAACTTCATATGATTGCCAAAAGGATGCAACAATTGGTTATAACTCATAATAAACTTAATTGGCTATACAGATTGCAAGAATTTCACCTTCCGTGTCTTTTGAACAATAAACTGCAAATGAGAACCCTAGAAATGAAACATATATTTGTAGACCGAAAATAATAATATACCAATGCAGTCAGCTTGTGGTGGAGAAATATATTAATACACGGTACCTCAATTAGGGAAGGCAACTAATCACAAACCATCTATTTCAACAATAAAACTATCCATGGTCCAAGATTGTCAAAGTAACTCCTTTGACTATATTTAAACCAGAAGTTTTTAGTTGCATAATCATCAACACCTTATATTTATCCAGATTTTTCAGGTAGATTGTTAGAGCACCATGCCCACCCATAGAATGACCAAATATAGAAGCTTTTGATGTTTCGAGCTGTGGAAAGTTTTCGCCCAGAATCTTTGGCAATTCCTTGACAACATAGTCATACATGCGCCAATTCTTCCATTTCTCTTGTGTAGCATTGAGATAAAATCCTGCACCTGTTCCGGAATGGGTATGCAGTTTACCTATCTCCCGTAAAGAAAATGTATATTGCACATATCGATGTAGATATAGCAGATAACAATTAAAATTATTCCACACAGCATCCACATCTTTTGAAAAAAAGAATGAGCTTTTTTCCTATAAAAAACTGGGGAATGAAGCAGAGATATGACAAATAGGATGAAATTCAGAAGCAAAGAAAATAACTTTTCATCTATCTCATTCTTCACAAGTACACTTCAGATTTTCTATACATCATGTTAACATGCTCAGGCAACACCCACTCCATATAATCAGTACCTCTCGCTCATGTCCAACATCACTTGGTCAAATTTTAGGCCTGTGAACTACGATAAAAAGCCTCATCATCCATTAGCACATTATGATAGAACCATGGTTTAGGAGAAAATTTAGGTGCTGGATCTTAGAAATTCAATATTTTTTGTTTCTTTATTATGCATGTTAAATGATAAATTTCCCATCTCTGATTAGTGACATTCAATATTTCAATTTGGATATCATCTTTCTGTATCTCCTTTGACATTTCAATCAGGCTGGCTACTGATCAGTTCTGCCAGTTTTGATCCAGTTCACCATTGGTTTGTGACAGGAACTGATACCAGGACTGAAAGAAAGAAGGATATTATTGCAATGAACCCTCATTCTCAAATCTAACTGATGCAGGATTAGTATTAATCTGTAATTAGCTTGTAATTAGATGTTAATAAGTTGGTTAGAAGGTTTACTGAACAGTGCCACGTGTCAATAGGTAGTGGCTCTGAAAGGTTGTTAATTCTATTAAGCTTCCCACTTGGAAAAGCTGTTAGAGGTTATTAGCAATAACTGCTAGATTTTGAGAAGGAATTTGTAGTAGAAGCAGATGCCTCAGGTACAGGTATTGGAGCTGTTTTGATGCAGGATATTCACCCCATAGCTTTCATTAGTAGAAGCTTGAATGTGCAGCAACAGTCCCTATCTACTTACGAGAAAGAATTGCTAGCTGTTATCTTTGCAGTGCAGAAGTGGAGACATTACTTATTGCCTAAGAAGTTTGTCATCAGAACAAATCATAGGAGCCTCAAATATATTTTTGATCAGAGACTAACTACAGCATTCCAGCAGAAATGGTTGGTAAAGCTCATGGAATTTGATTTTTGTATAGAGTACAAACAGGGCCAGGAGAATTTGGTTGCGGATGCATTATCTAGAGGAGGCTTGGTTGAGTGTAATGCTGTGTTTGTGGTTCAACCTAATTCAAATATGATCACTAGAATTAAAGCTTCCTGGCAATCTGATTCAGATGTTCAAAGATTGATTTCTAAGTTACAAAGTGATCCAAGTTCAAATAAGCACTTTTCTTGGGATAGGGGGAATTGAAGAGGAAGAGCATGTTAGTAATTGGTAAAGATCTGGAATTAAGGAGGGATATTTTGAAGTGACTACACTCTTCAGCTTGTGGAGGCCATTCTGGTAGAGATGCAACTTTGCTAAGAGTCAGGGCAGTGGTCTTTTGGAAGGGAATATCCAAGGATGTTAAGTTGTTCATTCATCAGTGCAGCACTTGACAAAGGTGCAAATATGACTCTGCTGCATACCCTGGGCTGCTGCAACCTTTACCTATACCTGAGCAGGTATGGCAACACATTACAATGAATTTCATAGAGGGTCTTCCTGACTCGTGAGGCAAACAAGTTATTTTTGTAGTGGTTGATAGGCTCAGTTAAGCTACACACTTCATGGCTCTCCATCATCCTTATTCTGCTGCTGATGTAGTTCAGAGTTTTATGGACAATGTCTTTAAGCTACATGGGTTTCCTGACTCCATAACAAGTGACAGGGATCCTATCTTTATCAGTCGCTTTTGGCAGGAGTTTATGGCTTACCAAGGAGTGCAAGTCCAGTTGTCTACTGCCTATCACCCACAAACAGATGGGCAGTCTGAAGTGGTTAATAGATGCTTGGAAACTTATTTGAGGTGCACGTGTTTTGATAGTCCTAAACAATAGTCCAAGTGGCTTCCTTTAGCTAAGTGGTGGTACAACACAACTTACCACAGTTCAATTAAAGCCAGCCCCTATGAAATAGTGTATGGACAATCCCCACCTGCTTACCTTCCTTATCTGCCTAGTGAATCTAAAGTAGAACTAGTGGATAGAAGTCTACAGAAAAGGAAGAAATGCTCAAATTGGTGAAGTTTCATATGAGAAGAGCTCAGGACAGGATGAAGTAGCTAGCAGATAAGCATAGGATTGATAGGAATTTGCATATTGGAGATTTGGTTTATGTGAAGTTACATCCCTATGGACAAGTTTTTGCGGCCTTTAGAAGCAATGCTAAATTGGCCCCTAAATACTATGGTCTTTATACTGTTTTGGATCAAATTGGTGTAGTGTCTTACAAGGTTCAACTTCCTTCTAATTCTGATCCACAACTTGTTCCATATCTCACAACTCAACAAGTTTGTAGGAGAAGTGCCAACATCTGTTAATTGTCCAAGCACTGACGAAGAAATCACTCATAAAGAGCCTGAAGCTATACTCGAGACAGGATGACAGTAAAAAGAGGTAATAAGGCTGTGACAAGGGCAATCATCAAGTGGAAACATCAGCTTCCTGAGGATGCTACATGGGAGTTTTACTATGGCTTGAAGAAGAAGTTTTCAGGATTCCATCCTTGAGGTCAAGGATTTGCTCAAGAGGGAGGAATTGATGCAGGATCAGTATTAATCTGTAATTAGCTTGTAATTAGATGTTAATAAGTTGGTTAGAAGGTTTACTAAGCAGTGCCACGTGTCAATAGGTAATGGCTCTGAAAGGTGGTGAATTCTGTTAAGCTTCCCACTTGGAAAAGCTTTTAGAGGTTATTAGCAATAACTGCTAGATATAGTGAGGGAATTGATACTCATATATGGGATTTTTTCCATTACTTCTTGAAACTCTGTTGAAATCTTTCTTTCTGCACTAATAATATCAGAATCTCTTCCTGATTGGGATTCTCTTCTTCAACCTTGGTTCTTCGGTTTTGTTCCTAAATCCTAGAACTGCAACACTAACCCACTGCAGACAGACTCAAGAACAGGGCAAGAATGATTACAATGGGTTGCTGAGTAATTTGGGTGACCCAGCCCACTTGCAACTCTTAACTAAGTAACTAACTATTTATTTTACTAACTAAATACTGTGGGGGTTACCTATCAGTTTGCTTAGTGAATTTTGGGGAATGGCAATGAACAGCCAGTCAAAGGACCATCTCAGGCCTTCCAGTCCAAATAGCCAGTTCAATACAGTTCAAATTAAATAAATAACATTTGCTATTTGCTGCATGTTGGTGTTTCTACTTTTAGCAAGCTTTAAGATAAATAAGCTAAAGCTTCAGTAAGTGTAAGAATATTAAGGTTATTGGTCTTATCGTATATTAGTGGTAGTGGTATATTGCTGGACCGAATTATTATTATTTATTAGTATAAGTTGAAAAGGAGGTTTTGGCATTATGTCAAGTCTATCAGCCATATATTCAATATACTACTGTTACCAGTATTACTCTTTTTCATTCTTCCTTACAGAACTCCTATAATTGTTGTTGATACGCTTCCGCTATTGGGTTTACAAGCTTGTGCTACCACTAGGACACAACAATGCAGCTGTTATATGTTGTTACTAGTTACGGCTCAGCAACAGGGTGGTCAATGCAAATGAATATAATAATTGTGTATTTGGTGAGGCTTTTGTGTACAACTGGTTACTTTTTTAAACATTGTAACTTCTATGTATTTGGGCTGGACTGGAGTACCCCTTGTACTCTATTTAATATATTGTCTTAGCTTATTGAAAGAAAAACAGAAATCCTATAATTTCAAATATTTACCCATTATGGAGAAATGTTAAGAGAACTAAAATATGCCACTATCCACTAACCCACCAATAAAGTTCTAGACACTCCACATCCTCCAATATGCTGCTCATCCCAACATATCACTCGGAGTATGTACCACCACTATCACCACAATTTCCAGAATTAAACACTATTATTCAATTTTCTCTCAAAACTTTAAATTCCTACATAAATTTTAAGTTCACCACCTAAATTCACCATGCTTCATACCAAATTGGAATTCATAGTTAAGCATTTAATTTGATGTTTAGATCAATAGGATTAACTTAACGAGCTAATGGGAAATAAAGAAACTTGATGTTGCAGTGCATGTCTTTCACCCTCAAAATCTGCAGCACTAAGGTTTTAAATACTCACCCAAGTGAGACAGTAAGAGAAGATCAAAGATAGAACTTGAAAAGATGAAGTGAGGGGAAGAAAGATTGTCAAAGTTGAAGAGGGAGGGGATTATGGTATTTTCAAGGAAAGAGGGTTGAGTTAATCTATAAGGGGATATAGGAGCTGACAAATGACAAAAATGCTCCTAGCTTACTGACTTTATGAAGTTGTTACACACTTCCTCCATACAAACACAATGATTTTACAGAAAGTCCTCAACCACAATAATGACGACAACAACAATTGTAAAAGATAGATAATTTTATAGAATGTTCACAACCACTTACAGCTTCACAACACACATCCTAAGTCATCAAAAAGGAACTAATATATATAACATCCAACATCTGCTATGACCTCTTTAAGTGAATTTTCCATATGCTACATGCAGACCTTCAATATTTTATAATTAACATTACCATGGATACCATGATTCATTCAGGTTTGAACAAGAAGCCCAAGTAATTACTTTGAAGGGTTAAATACTTTGAAATGCATTGTAAATCTGACATTAGGAGTTTAGGGCCAACTGGGGCTTGCACATGGTAACCTTGACTTTCCTAAACAAAAGTGCAATCCATCTAGTACTTCTACATGTGCAAGAAATTCATTAATAAGTGTAAAATAACAAGATTGGGTCATATAAATTGAAAGCCTAAACATTATTAAACAGTGTAAGAAGATAAAATAGAACATTCACTATAAGCATTGTACCACATCTGCAACGGTATCAAAGACAGATAGAAATAACAATCATTTTTTGAGAAATTCAACATTCTCATATGACAAAAAAAGTGCAAGACTAAAACTAAAGCCAGGCAATAAACCTAGCCAAAGCTTGAGGCTGTCAATTTTCAAATGGGCTCATCCTCAAGCCCAAAAACATATCTTGCAATGCTAGGCCTTAGGTTCAGTTCAGGCCCCGCCCCATTCAAGACCCAAATATAATATTCTCATGTTGCATACCTACACCGAGATCCCAGCTGTCTGCTTCTCCTTCCACATTCAAACCTCCTGCATCAAGTTAAAAACTGATAACATAGCATCACACCATACTGGAGCTTAACAACAAAAGGAAAAGTATAAACTCTGAAAGCAATTAATTATATAAACAAACTAGAGAAACTACTAGTTACCAGTTTAAAAATATATAAAAACATTATTTAGTATTTTTATCCAGAATCGTACAACAAATATTTCATTTGCAAGAGGTTCAACTCGCTTCCATTTTTAATGCCAGTCCACCGACACATTTTACTTTAGCCTTCTAACTTTTTTGTTTCATTTTAGTCCTTTATCTTTTTATCTGATTTCAAATTAGTACAGTTTATCAATTGTGTCAAACTTCTATTGCCACAAATTGTGAATTTTCTTATGTATCAAGGCAATTTTTCACGGTCATAATTGATAAACAGGATCTTGAAACCAAACAAGAGATAAAAGACTAAAATGAAACTAAATAAATAAAAGACTAAAGCGAAACAAAAAAAATTAAGTTAGGGGGACAAATTACTACTTTTGCGGCATTTGAAAAAGCTTATAGAAAGAACATAGCTCACATAAACCTTTTTTTCAGCTTATTTCACCAAGTTCTATGATCAACTTTATAGTTTAAATCCTTATATTAAAAAAAAAAAAAACTCATTATATCCAAAACATTTTCCAAAAAAAAGCTATAAAAAAGTAATTGTTTTTTAAAACTAAAGTTAACTAATTACATACTGGGAGAAGTGTCAGGGGCAACCAAGGCGATGCCCTCGGTGGAAGCGGCACGTTGAGCACCCGATTTGAATATGAAGTTCTCATCGGTGCAAGTGAGACCGGAGAGCCAATACAGTACCTTGCAATTCATAAAATGAGAAATGAAGTATAATTATAGTTTGAATAGAACTAAGAAATGGAAAATTGAAAGGGACTCACAGGGAATCTGTGAGAAGGAGAAGGAGAGGGAGGGAAATAGATGTGAAAGTTCATCGAGCAACCCAGCGTAGGGCTGAAATGTTTGAATCTCTTATTGTAACCTCCGAACATCTTTGCGCTACTGATTTCGGTGGGTTTGGCGTCCATTTTTCTTGCTCTCTGCTTCTTGCGGTGAGTGCGAGTGTTCGCTTCGTGCGAGGACTTGGCTAAGTGCAGATCTCACTTCTCAGAGGTTTATAGCCTCACAGGATTATTATTTTCCTCATAATTTATGGTTAAAAATATTATTTTTACTTAATTACGTTTTTTTTTTCTCTATAAAAACAGGACACTTTTTACTGGTCTTAAAACAATTGTTAAAATTTAATCATAACTTATTGATTTAGATCCCCCAGTCAATTATACTTTATCAAGTAACAAGTGATCAGCAGATAACGAAAATATAGGCTTATTTATTTTTATGATATTTTTTAAAAATAAATTTTTAAAGTAATATTTTCTTAAAATAATATTCATGTTTGGAGTTTTTTTTTTTTTTTACGTAATCGTTAATTTTGTGCATGGAGTGAAGTTTATTTTTTTAAATTAAGTTTTATTAGAAAAAAATAAAATTAAGATATTAAGTTAAAGGTTAAAATTAGAATTTCATATATTACTTAAATGAAACTAATTTTTTTAATTAAATTTTATTTGCAGAAGATTAAATTAAGATTAAAACATGTGTTAAGAACTTGTTAAATTTTACTTGTTATAATTATAGAATGTGTCATTTGTTTCGTATGCAAGATGAAATTTAATATTTTATGATTAGACATTTAAAAATAAATTTGTTGTTTAAATTTTGATGCTTTTTGTTGATGTAACTTGTCACTAGACACAATATTAATTTGTATTCTCAATTTTTAAAATTTAAAGAGTCTTTTTATTAACCATTCATCAATAAATCTACTAAATACTTCAAATTATATATGATTCAACTCAATTAATGTAGACATTTTCTCATTTCTAACCTCAAGTATTTTTAATTTTCTTGTAAATTTTATAGAAAAATATCTCATAATTTACTGTTATTCTTTATCAAATTACATAACTAGATTTAGTAATAATAAATTTTTTGTTAGTTTTATTTTTACTGAATTACATGAAATTTTACCAAACTCTAAGTATAAAATACCTATTATAAAAAGAAAAATAAATAAAATAAAATTTTATACTCAACTATGAATTTACAACAAAATAAACAGATAAAATCAAAATTCAAATATAAATATAGAAATAGAAACAAATTGAATAATTTCACTTTAATTTTATTGGAGAGCATTTGTCATTTGATACGAGAGGGTAAAATATATTTTGTATTTTTAATAAATATATTTAAAATTAATATTTTTTTATAATAAAATATATGAATTTAATATATCAATTATATATTTATTATTATAAATAATATAATTTTTAATTTAAAATTAAACAATATTTCCTCCCTCTCTATAATCTATCAAACATACCCTAACAAGACAGGATTGTGACTTTTTTACTGAAATATTTTAAAAAATATATAAAAATTTTAAAATATACCTTTGCCTAAAATATTTACAGGGATAGACCTTATTTTATGGATGTTCAGAAGTTGGATCCTAGATGTAGAAATATAAGAATACGGTTTCCCCTCTCCCTAGAAGGAAATGAAATGATATTTTTGCAGAAAAAAAATAAAAAATTAAATTAACCAAATTTGCCCGATGTAGAGGCAATTAAGAAAGCTTCATAAGTAAATATATAACCTACAAAAAAGTGGGCTAGTCTAATCAATCTTGCTTCACAATGGAAAGAGCCACTAGAAATTGCAATAGATCTATTCCGCCCAAAATGGGAATGAGTTAGGGTTATGAACTTATAATCTATAATATGATGATCGAGTCGATTCCATGGTTATAAGTTCATTCCATACCGGACCAGACCGGAATAGGGTTATATACATTCTCGTTATGAGAAGGGGTCATTTGAGCGTATCTAAATAGATACTATGTTTACATATAGATCCCTGCGTTGTTCCATTCCATTTAGGATTAGAAATAGGCATAATCGGACCTGCTTTTTACATATCTCTCATTATTTAGGACCATATTCACCTCTTTTGCCTTCTATTGAATTGAAGGAAATAGATTTGATTGTCCCAGCAGATTTTTTTATAGAAGTCATTTTGGGACCATGTCCCCCGAGAAATGACTCGGTCGATATGGCATAAGACGTTTCCTCGTTTCGATCCTTTACTAAGAAAGACCCGTGAGTTGGGTATGGGGAATATGATCGAATGACTCTTCGTCTTACGAAATCAAACCTGAAACTTTGCTAGCAAAAGAAGGGGATTCCAGAAAATAAAAGACAGAGATAGCGAGGGGAAGCTGAACAATGTAGCTATAGCTGCTCACCCTTCCTTCGAAGCTGTTAAGCCCACTCCGCGAGGAGTGTATCCTACTGGTTAAGGCTACGCCCTATGGACATTGGTTACTGGGCTGAAGAATAGATTCGGGAGGGGTAGTATAGCTCTTGCCTGAAGACGATTCGAAACATGCATTATGACTCCAACCATGGAATTCTAACATGAACGTTCGTTGATAAGTCCAAAGAAGGATCCGCGCACGGATCAGGCTTTCTGACTCACGAAAATAGACTAATGCCTAAAAGTCGGTTCCCATAACTTTTCTTTTTTTCTTTTTATATATTTTCATATAATAAAATAAAAATTATTATTTAAATTATATTTATATATTATTATTTTATTAAAATAAATATTTATAATATATTATTTGAATAAATATTTTTAAAAAATTTAATAATTCAAATAATAAAATAATTTTTATTATTTGAATTATGTTTTTTTATATTATTTAAAAATAAATAAAAATAAAAAAATATTGATTTTAAATATTTATTAAAATTTATTTCACATATTTAAGATAATAAATAATATTTTAATTTTTCTTATTATTTTATTTAATATAAATTTATTTTTTTAAATGATATTAATATTATATTGTGAAATTATATTTTTGATTATTTAATATTATAGATTTTTTTTAAAAATTACAATAATAATTTATTTAATTTTAAATTTGTATAAAATAAAAAATATAATAATAATTTATTTAATATTATATATTTATAAAATAATATTAAGTATTAAATAATAACCAATTTATTTATTTATTTTGAGATATTAATATTTATTAAAATTTATACTTAATTATTTATTTAAAAAAATATGTTGTTAATATTAATAAATATAATTAAATAATATTATGTAGATATATTATATATATATAATTATATATTTAATATAAATTATAATTACTAAAAATTTAAAAGTTGAAATGACATTAATAAAATTAAAAATGACATTAAGAAAGTTTTTAAATAATAACAACAACAAAAATTAATGACAGGAACTAGAAGCTTTAGTGATGTTTGGACATGTCTTCCTTGTGTGACCAAGGGTATGACAATAAGAACAATTTATTGCCCGACCTTGTTGTTCTCTAATGTCCATCTTTGTTCTTATCCTATTAGACTCTGGTCGACTCTTTGAAGTTCTTTTTAGTTTTAGATTTTGACACAATTAGGCTTGTGTAAGTTGGCCAATTGTCTTTGTGTTTGAGTTTTTCAAATTGACCTTCGTATACCTTATAAACTTATTGTAAAATATACACAGGAGATATGTAGATATTAAAGTTGTGGTATGTGTAAGCATGAAGCAAGTATATGCGAGTATGGAATGTGAACTTTTTGAAACTTGCACAATCACCCCACATTTCATCTAACCGTACTGTAAATCTTCCTACAGGTCAAATTTCTGTCAGATATTGCGTTTCTTCGACTAAAAGTCTAGTGCTTGTTTTGTCAAAGGTGATGACTCTATGAGTGTTCATATTTGACTGTGCATCTTGAATTGCTTTAGTTGCAACCTCCAAGTACATATGTCCAGCATTAATCATTGCATCTACTTCCTTACTTTTGTTAATGAAGAACTTATTGTAACGGGTGTATGTTGTCATAACCATAGAGCAAATTGGTAAGTTTTTAGTTTTCTTCAAGATCGAATTGATTAACTTCGCTAGGTTTGTAGTCATGTGTCCCCATCGTCGTCCGTTGTCCCATGCTAGTGTCCATTTTTTCTTTGGGATATTGTCCAACCATTGTGCAGCTTCAGGATTATTATCTTTTACTATGTTATAATAGTAAAAAAATCTCGGTTCAGTCATCCCATATACTGAAAAAAATTACAAATTAAATTAATATATTTAAATAATATATTATAAATATTTATTTTAATAAAATAATAATATATAAATATAATTTAAATAATAATTTTTATTTTATTATATAAAAACAAAAAAAAGAAAAGTTATGCTCAGAATTCGGTTCCCAAAAACTAAATTCTGAGCACCCATAAAATCAGGTCTATCCCTGTAAATATTTTGGGCAAGAGTCTATTTCAGAATTTTTATTTATTTTTTAAATATTTCGGTAAAAAAGTCCAGGATTGTTCTTATTGTGCGAGTGTGTCTCTGTTTCTTTGTGTTTGTGTGTTCTCTCGTTACTCATATTTCAAGAGGTTTGATGATGTCGGACGAAAGCTAAGATGCTGATTTTTTTTTTATTGAGCCCATTAATCACATACAATTTCCTCGAAGCTCCTTTTCCTTTCATTTGAATTTAATTATTTGATATGTAAATTTTTTTTTCTACATTTACATGTATTTTATTAGAATATGTTTGCATTTTTAAATTTTGGACTCTTAATGTATTTAAAGTATTATTTATAGGTTAAGTAACTATAATTTTTAATTAAGACCATTACTTTTTATTTTTGTTAACTCCTTATCTTCTTGTGATATTCTCATGTGAAAATGTAAAAATGACTCTTTTTTCTGTTAATTTTGAAAGTTTTAATTCAAGTTTAAGAGTATAATTTTGAGATTCTTTATAATATTTTTTAATTAACAAATATAGTATAATTTAATTAATTAATATAAATAGAAAGAAGATTCTTATAAATGCAAAAAGTATAAAGTAAAAAAATATTTGATTTTAAGTGAAATATTTAATTATGTAAAACTCACATTAGTCTCTAATATAATAATAATTAGATATATTGATTCTTAAATTTTTAACATTATCTTGAAATTTGTCAAATAATTAAGTCCCCAAAACAATAAGCGTTCCTTGCTCTTCCCTTTCCCAGTTCAATCTTCTTCAATCACCTCTTAGACTTAAACTCAAACCAATCAGTATCTCCAAATACTTTCCATTCTTCATGCTCTTTCACAGCATCATTGATCTTCCATTCTTCATGTAGGTTCTTCCATAGTAACCACGAAAATCACACTAGCACCATTGACATTGAGTCCTTGTCAGTGAGTATAACACTTATCACAATGGTCTTTGTGACGATAAGTTCAACTCTTGTATTCATGTAATCAATTAAATTAAATACATGGAGCAGAATCTTTTTATATCGGTATAAGTCTAAATTCTAAATTCTAAGTGAAAGATTCAGATTGAGTATAAGAGTTTTTAGACTTACACTAACGTAAAAACATCTTTCTCCTTAATTTATATTAAGTTCTATAATGAATAAATTTAAACCTCTAAAATTTTGTAGGTACTCCACCAAATACTTTCCATTCCTCAAATTTTAATGTATTTTATATCAACATTGGTCTTTTTAACTAAATTAAAAGAAATAATATATTTTAAAATTAGAATTTTTGGACATAAAATATTGTAGACATTTCTTTAAATTAATGTTTATTACCTTTAATCAAATTTAAAATTTAAAATACAAAAAAATACTATCATTGTAAATCATAATAAATTTACACAAATATACAATTTGATAACATGTCCACGTAATCCATAGTCAAACCATTTAAATTCATAAAATTAAAAGAATTCATACTCAGATTTTATAAATAATATTGACTTGTTATTTTAAAATTACAAATAAATCAATACATTATTATTATTATTATTATTATTATTATTATTATTATTATTATTGCTACTTGTATCAAATATTTGTGACTAAATGTATTAAACTGGTAATTAAAATAATTTAGAGTAACAATATGATTACTAGCAGATATATAAAAATAATAATATAGAAATTTACTAATTGATTAACTGTATCATATGTTTGTAAATTAAAAATCTGTTTACAAAAATTTTCTGTATATTAATAAAAGTATTAATATCATTAATGTTAAATCAAAATAAACAAAACATTATCACCAATAACTCTTAAAAGTTAAATGACTGAATATGAAGAAATATTATAATTAAATATTATTAGTTATCTAACAAATGATAAATATTTTTTTAATTTTATATTTCTTAAAATGTGAAAACTTATTTAGTTTAAGTAATGACATCAATTGTGTCCTAGATTCATTAATATGATTAAAAAAATTAACATTCTGATATATAACTATATGTCATATGTAACACTGATCAAAGTATAATAGTATATAATTTAATTTATTAGAATAAACAATATTACTTTTTGAGTTTAAAAAGTATGTATAAGAGTTAGGGTTATAAATAATATTAAAATTAGATATTACTAATTTTATTTATTTATTATTAATTATTAATACATAAAAAGTATTTTTTTCATATATATTTTTAACATTAAATGTATTTAAAATACAAAAACAAAAAAAATTCTTATAATATAAAATCTGAGTCACTAATCATTTATATTTATAAAATTTTAGTCTAAATTAACGAAGTTATAAAGTTTGAGTTTTGTTTATATTATTACTATTAAAAATATAAAAGTATGCTAAATAATGATAGAGTAATCAAGCGTTATTTTTTATTGATTTCCTATTGAATATACTTAATTCCATTATTTTTATAAATTAATTACTTTAAATTATTCGAAGGTTTACTCTTTTTTTATTCATATTATTTTTTATACGAAAATATAAAAAATCATAAATAATATCAACAACAAATATTTCTCGGACAAAACCAACTAAAATCGATAACTGGATTATCTTTTTCAAACAACTTGTTATATTAAACTAAATTTTCCAAATTAATACCATCTTCATTCAATAAAAATATTATTATTTATTCAATAAAACTATTATTAAATTAATATTTTCTATAATAAAAAAATTACCACTAATTTCCCAAAGTGTAACAGTAAATAAAACATAACATTCTGACTAAAAAATTCAGAACAATAATTAACTAATAAAACATAACGTTCCGACTCAAAATTCTATTTCAAAAATGTTTCCCATGACAAAAATTAATGTATTACATATATAAATTAAATGCTTTTATAATTTTTTAGGTACTTAGCCGATAAATTTTAGTAATCTCGTGCTTTTAAATTCAGACACATAAATTGTGACTACTTAATAACTCTAATTTTATTTATTTTAAAATATTTTGTTTTATAAGTTGATTTATGCAAAACGTTTTATTAATATGCTGAATGCTTTTATAATTTTTTTAAAATTTAATTTGGTATACATTTTGTTTATATAAATATCTAACAATTAATTGTTTTATACATAATAATAATAATAATAATAGTTGTTATTGTAAAATACAATTATTTATGAATAGTTAAAATTAAAAGTTTGACAGTGTTCATATGACAGCTTAAAACATTATACGCTTTTTTATTTTAATTTTAACTATAATTAAAAATTAGAAATCACAATATTATAGAAGAGATCTAACGAGTGAAAAGTTCTAAAAAGACAGAAAACTTATTCAAAATTATGAAAATAATAAAGCTTTTGTAATTTTTTAGAACTGAATATCCTTTTATAATGTCTAGATTGGTATTAATATTTAAAATTACTGATTTATTTGTCATTTTATGCATGGGATAAAATATTTTTTAATTGGATAAGATTTTTAAACAAGTTCAAAAAAAATAAAATAAAAAAAAAATATATATATATATATATGTTATATAATTATATAATTATATAATTAACATAAATAAATTACAATTACAATTACAATTTAATCTTATATAACAATTATATAAAATGAATAATGAGAAATGAAGAAATCCATGACAGATTTATGTTCTGCAGTTAGCAAACTATCACTCCGCCGTCCGATTCATTTTCGAAGTACAACCGTTAGATCCACAAAACCTAATTTACCTTGCGCCGCACTATAAATATAAACGGAAAGTGAGAGTTGAGAGCAAAGCCTTTGTTCTCCCTTCTTTCATCCATAGCAGCATACCACAAGAGAGAGGTTAAAGAGACGGCACCGTTTTGCTGTCCGCCTTGACCGAGCCACTGCTTCGTCTTGGCCCTCGATTTTGCCATCTGAAAACCCAATACATAACCCTAGACACATCAACAATCAACAATGGTGAAACCTACCAAGGCAGAGAAGAAGATCGCCTACGATTCCAAGCTGTGCCAACTCCTCGATGACTACACTCAGATCCTGGTTGTCAACGCCGACAACGTCGGATCCAACCAACTCCAGAACATTCGCAAGGGTCTCCGTGGTGACTCAATCGTCCTCATGGGAAAGAATACCATGATGAAGCGCTCTGTTCGCATGCACGCAGAGAAAACCGGCAACGATGTCTATCTCAGCCTTATCCCCCTCCTTGTCGTGAGTTTCTTTCTCTATAGTTTTACTGATTTTGGCATTGCTTTGTTTAATTTTGATATTTTTGTTTCGATTGCTACGGATTTGAGCCTTTTTTTTTTAATTAGGGCAATGTTGGATTGATTTTCACAAAGGGTGACTTGAAAGAGGTTAGCGAGGAGGTTGCTAAGTATAAGGTGAAGTGATTTTTACACTGTTTTTTATATTATCGATTTTTCATTGTGCCTTTTATGATGGTAATGTTGCTCTGTTTTGAACCGTGTTGTGTGCATAGTTTTTGATTGAATTAATTGTTGTCTAACACTATATTATTTAATGTGAACAGGTGGGAGCACCAGCTCGTGTTGGTTTGGTCGCTCCGATTGACGTTGTTGTTCCTCCAGGAAACACAGGACTCGATCCCTCTCAGACCTCTTTCTTCCAGGTGGGAGATCTTGTTTTTGTTTTTATTTTTGAAAATGTAATATTTTGTTGTGGATGCGTGTTTTATGTTTATTTATCCGATATATTTCAGGTGCTTAATATTCCCACCAAGATTAACAAGGGTACTGTGGAAATCATTACGCCTGTCGAACTTATTAAGAAGGGAGACAAAGTGGGGTCTTCTGAAGCTGCCTTGCTTGCCAAGCTTGGCATAAGGCCCTTCTCATATGGGCTTGTGGTTCTTTCGGTCTATGATAATGGTTCGGTCTTCAGTCCTGAAGTTCTTGATCTTACCGAGGATGACCTAATTGAGAAGTTTGCTGTTGGTGTCTCGATGGTTACTTCTCTCTCGTTGGCCGTCTCCTACCCAACACTTGCAGCTGCACCGCATATGTTTGTTAACGCGTACAAAAATGTCCTTGCTGTTGCAGTTGAGACAGATTACTCTTTCCCTGAGGCAGACAAGGTCAAGGAGTACCTCAAGGTATTGGCTTTTGACATTTTGATGTCTGTTGCTAAAGTTGTTCTCTGTATTTTTTGAACTTTTCAATTGTTTGTTTATGAATTGTCATGTTAAACGCAGGATCCAAGTAAATTTGCTGTGGCTGCTGTTGCTGTTCCTGCTGCTGATTCTGGTGCTGGACCAGCTGCTGCCAAGGAAGAGGAGAAGAAGGAAGAGCCGGCTGAGGAGTCTGACGATGACATGGGTTTCAGTCTTTTTGACTAACTTGTGTAATACTTGTTGAGATTGCTTTAGATATATTTTAATTTTGCTGCTTTAGGTTTGATGAAATTTATAATTTTAGGTCTTATATGAGGATTTATTATTATAATATCTTGGCAGGATAATCCTCTCCAACTCTGAAACATTTGAGTTATTATTTAAGCATTATCTTGTTTTCATGCAAACATTGTCTTTTTGGTGCAAAATCGATGATTTATATTGTTTAGTGAAACTAACTTACGATGTGTTGTTGATGTGAATTTGATGCTTGGGCATTTCTGTTGAATTTGGTGAAAACATATCTTTTGAAACAAGCAATCTTTTTCTAATTCTGAAATGTCATCCTTGAGCCAATAATGCATGCATTTTCAACTAAATTGTATATTACACAATTATTTAAAATGAATAAATACCTTTTGCATTTTATGGTGAAAATAATTTAAACCTAATATAGTTCTTATACATGTCACTATTAAAGGATTATTATTAGCTAAGTATTTTTAAAAACATTCGCAAATGCTTCTATGCTGCTGAATAATTATACGCCATAATCCCAGATGATGTGGAGATAAATTTTTCGGATTTCTACCAAGTTAAACCTAGTCAAACATGGAGTGATATAAAATGAGAAATGTTATAATTTTTGTTAGTAAATTATCGAAAGTCTCCCGTCTTTAAATTAAGTAAAATATAGATTTAGTCCTTAACTTGTGTAATTCTCCACTCATTTTAGTTAGGAATTTGTATCATATGGATCTCGAATGACTTTGAATCTTACAAAGCTTATCAATTGCTTACACGGAACAAATGATGGGGGTTTATCATATACAAGACACGGACTATTTAAGTTATTTATCTCCTCACCCTTAATATTAATAGGATCACTGAAATGTGAAGAAGTTATTATGAAATGAAAACTACAAATGATGCTATCCCAATCCAAAAATCAATGATAAGAACCCATTCACATTCCAGCATTTGAAACTATATGCCCCTGTAACAAAGAAAAAATGTTAAATGTTTATTTGTATACAGTCGTGGAAAGTTTGGAACAAAAACAAAAAAAAGCAAAAAACAAAATAAATTCAGGGCCTAATTTTGTAGCCAAAGATGATTCCATAAAAATACAAAAGGTGGCACACAAAACTAATTTGAAATGTTAATTGTGTGGTGATCCATTGAAAAAAGTAGAAAAATATTAATTTTCAAAAAGAACGGAGCTAGGAAAAATTTTGCCTACGAGAACCACTCAACCATTAGAGACATTTATTTATCAATCTTCTTGCGATTGTGATGATATTTTTTATTATCTTAATTTCTATTTTTATTCTAATAATTTTGTTTTTATTATGTGTACTCTAATATAAAATCGTTTAATTTAACAACATAAATCATAATTGTCATTACAAGGCTGATAGAATGAATACTTTAGGATATTTGTTCTTTATTAGAAATGCACCGTGTCATGGTGTTCAAAGAAGAAGTAATCTATTGTAGCATTGACTTCATGTGAAACTCAATATATAGTTAACATATGCAACTTGTCAAGTATTATTACTGGAGTTGTTGCTAAACGAGGGAGGAGATACCTGTAAACTTGAAGATTGCATCAAGTCTGCTATAAATCTTGTTAAGAGCCCAGTAACGCATAGAAGGAATAAACACATAAAGATCTTGAGAGACCACGTGGTATTGTAACACAATACATTAACTTGCTTATGACTAAACCTTTAGAGATAATGAGATATAAGGATTTAGATTCAGTAACTGCGCCGTCACTTACATTATTTTGTATTTTCGTTTAAGTTTACATATTTTTATTTAAATAAAAATATAAAATTTTGTCTAAATACACAGTACAGTTTTCGCGTAGACTACACTGAATTTGGGTTCAAGATATAATGAGTCGAGAAGAGCGTTAAAAATTATATTTGTTAAAAATTTTAAATTAAAAGAGTGTGTTGAGAATTTATCAACTTCGCTCTAAGTCTTAAAAAGAGGACTTCTTATAAAATATACAAGTCTTAATATATAATTTGATCTAGTTTAATTTTTAACAATAAAACAATTAAATCAAACCACAATAAAATAATATAGTATTTTTTACTTTAATTTATTCAATTATCATTTTATTTAATTTTGAACATCCCTAACAACACATTTTATCAGATATAAAAAAGTAACTGAAACCAACCCACTATCATAGGCTAAAATGTACAACATTTTATCATAAATTCCAATTAAGACAATATCAGAAATGGCAGGACTTGCTCCGCACCTTCCACCTGTCTTCTTTAACCACGCAAGGACAACAGAAGTGTGGATTGCAAAACTAGAACAAATTCTTGAGGGTTGAAAATTTTTCTTAAAACGTATATATCTCCCAATAACCTTTCTAAAAGACTTTACAGTATGAAACAAAAATATTTATTTATTATTATGTTAGAAACATAAAATATATTAATAGCTTCTTCATTTAATAATCAAAAGATTTTGTAGAAATAAATGATTAAAAAATTTAGAATTATTCCTTCGACGCTCTTCATCATAAAATTGTGTAAAAATTTCTTATCTAGACATTAAGTACCATAGCGATCTGTCTTGGCTATAAAATCAAGTAATTTAATTTTTTTATGAATTTATTAATCGTTTACATATTTAAAAATAAAAAATATTTATTATATTTTTATATTTCTAATATGAGAAATGTCAATAGTATGAAATGAAATAAACAAAAGGAAAAAAAAAAATATGTGGCATGGTTTTCACTTACTGCAAAATTTTCATTTGCTTTTAAAATAATTACTTAACCAATCAAATAAATTTATTTTATTTTCTTACCGAATATTTTTATACTACTTAGCAGTGTTCCTCTAATATAACAAAAAAATTAATTTTTTAATAAGAAATTATTATTTTAAAATGTTTAAATTCAATCTTTATATTAACAAAATATTTTTTTTTCCAAGAATAAGGCAAAGCGAAAATTACATCCCATGGGAACATGATTGGCATAGTCATCCAATATAAATGAGCATCAGGGGAAGTTGGCAACAGCAATGAACCTTTAATGCCATGCCTATAGGCTTCAACAAGATACAACTTCATTGCATCACATCCTCCTTTTCTCTGTCTATTAGTAGTTTTTACTTTGTATTCTCAAATTCAGGCACATTTCACTGCTATCTTTCTCACATAATTTTCATTACTATTGTCTATTACTATTATTATTATTATTATTATTTTGGTTTTGGCCTTTAACTTTTCAGCTTTCGCTTCAACAAGGTCGGCTCTTACACATAAAACAAAATTTTTGGTGACTTGGAGGAGCTCAAGAAGATCAACCCTTTAATCGAATAAACATAACTTTGTAGTTCCCAACTCGAAAGTTAAGAGTGTTAATTTTATTTTATTTACTGGTTTTAGCTGCAACATTTTTAGCCGGGTAGATGAACAAACTCTAGACGGAGAAAACCAAAAAAAAAAAAAACACTTAATAACACTTACTACCATTATTAGTAGTACAGGTGGTAGTAGTGACGCGTTACTCTATTTCAGCTAAAGAAAGTTTAGAGAGGGAGAAGCTTTTTGTCAGGAATTCTGGACAGGAGGACCTCACATATTGGTTACTTTAGTTTAGGGTTCAGCAAGATCCACCAAAAAAATTTGTTTTTCTAGTTCATTCCACATCTTATTGGTGACAAATATCTCTAATCAAAGAGCCAAATTCAGTAGTTGAGTTAGAGGAATGTAAAAGGCATAAGATTTATGCAGGTCATGTAGGAGTGTGTGTCTAGTTTACTTATTTATAGGCACAGAATTTGGATTAGAAGTAACTCACCTATTTAAAGCACCAAAAGTCATTGGAGATTTAAATTTGAAGCCTTGTGTTTTAGCATGGTGGGAAGCATTATGGGAGTAGTTAGTAATGAATACTCAAATGGATCTGTTCATAGATGCAATGGTTTAGAAGAGAAGCTTGATGATCTTCGTGGCCTTCTTGGCAAGGCTGAAGGTGATCCTTTGAGAATTGTGAGCGTTGGAGCTGGTGCTTGGGGCAGTGTTTTTGCTGCTTTGTTGCAGGATACTTATGGCCAATTCAGGGAAAAGGTGCAAATAAGGATATGGAGAAGGCCAGGAAGGACAGTTGATAGAGCCACTGCAGAGCAACTCTTTGAAGTAATCAACTCCAGAGAGGATGTGTTGAGGAGGTTGATTCGGCGTTGCGCTTATCTAAAGTATGTTGAGGCTAGGCTTGGTGATAGGATTCTACTTGCTGATGAGATTCTGAAAGATGGTTTTTGCTTGAATATGATTGATACACCACTTTGTCCTTTGAAGGTTGTGACAAACCTGCAGGAAGCTGTTTGGGATGCCGATATTGTTGTTAATGGTTTGCCTTCCACCGAAACACGTGAGATTTTTGAAGAGATAAGTACATATTGGAAGGAGAGAATCACAGTGCCTGTGATAATCTCTTTAGCAAAGGGTATAGAGGCTGCATTGGAGCCTGTTCCCCATATTATAACTCCCACAAAAATGATTAACCAAGCAAGTAAGAGTTTTCTTCATCTCTATTTATGAGTTATCTTTTGTCCATATTTCTTGCTTTTTTCCAACACTTGAAAGGCAAGATTTTTGTCATACACTTGATACTAAAGAAGACGTAAAAGAATGAGAAGCTTATATTTCTTTTCTCTTATTTTTCTCCTTATCGATCCCATCAAATTTTAAATTGCATTTCCACAATTAAATTAGCTGAATTTGCCCACAATTTTGGTAATCACCTCACAACTAAAACCGTCACCATAACGACAATTTAAAACCTTGACTTGCATAAACTATCATATGGAATAATATAATTTCAACTTTCTATTTGTGGGAGAAACATCCTTATTTAATTAGTATATACATAGTTGGTGTTATACAGTCAAATTTTTTGCAGTTAGTTGAGTTGTGAGTGGTAGCGGTTAGAAGATATATTAAGAATGGAAAACTGTAAAGAATGGAGGAACATCTTTATGTGTCAAGGGTCAGAAATTCATTGATATAATGATATCACATTTTAAACATTTCTCATATAGTCACACCCATTTGCTAATTGGTGTATGGCATACTTCATTATTAACTTTTCATCTGTTGGCCAGTACAGCTAGAGGCAAAGTCTAGCCAAAGAAACTTCTGCAGAATTATTGTGAGTTTTATTGGTGGAGATAATCTTCTTTGTTATTTGAATGAATGTGAAACTCAACCTTCC